CATATCAGCCTCTCTCAACAGACCAGCCTCTCTCAACAGACCAGACTTACCACATAACAGACCAGCCTCTCTCAAAAGACCAGCCTCTTTCAACAGACCAGCCTCTCTCAACAGACCAGCCTCTCTTAACAGACCAGCCTCTCTCAAAAGACCAGCCTCTTTCAACAGACCAGCCTCTCTCAACAGACCAGCCTCTCTCAGCAGACCAGCCTCTCTCAACAGACCAGCCTCTCTCAGCATACCAGCTTCTCACAACAGACCAGTCTTACCACATAACAGACCAGCCTCTCTCAACAGACCAGCCTCTCTACATATCAGCCTCTCTCAACAGACCAGCCTCTCTCAACAGACCAGCCTCTCTCAACAGACCAGCCTCTCTTAACAGACCAGCCTCTCTCAACACAACAGACCAGCCTCTCTCAACACAACAGACCAGCCTCTCTCAACAGACCAGCCTCTCTCAACAGACCAGCCTCTCAACATATCAGCCTCTCTCAAAAGACCATCCTCTCTCAACAGACCAGACTTACCACATAACAGACCAGCCTCTCTCAAGAGACCAGCTTCTCTCAACAGACCAGCCTCTCTCAACAGACCAGCCTCTCTTAACAGACCAGCCTCTCTCAAAAGACCAGCCTCTTTCAACAGACCAGCCTCTCTCAACAGACCAGCTTCTCTCAACAGACCAGCCTCTCTCAGCAGACCAGCCTCTCTCAACAGACCAGCCTCTCTCAGCAGACCAGCCTCTCAACATATCAGCCTCTCTCAACAGACCAGCCTTTTTCAACAGATTAGCCTCTCTCAACAGACCAGCCTCTCAAAATACCAGCCTCTCTTAACAGACCAGCCTCTCTAAAAAGACCAGCCTCTTTCAACAGACCAGCCTCTCTCAACATATCAGCCTCTCTCAACAGACCAGCCTCTCTCAACAGACCAGACTTACCACATAACAGACCAGCCTCTCTCAAAAGACCAGCCTCTTTCAACAGACCAGCCTCTCTCAACAGACCAGCCTCTCTTAACAGACCAGCCTCTCTCAAAAGACCAGCCTCTTTCAACAGACCAGCCTCTCTCAACAGACCAGCCTCTCTCAGCAGACCAGCCTCTCTCAACAGACCAGCCTCTCTCAGCAGACCAGCCTCTCAACATATCAGCCTCTCTCAACAGACCAGCCTTTCTCAACAGACCAGCCTATCTCAACAGACCAGCCTCTCTCAGCAGACCAGCCTCTCTCAACAGACCAGCCTCTCTCAACACAACAGACCAGCCTCTCTTAACAGACCAGCCTCTCTCAATAGACCAGCCTCTTTCAACAGACCAGCCTCTCTCAACAGACCAGCCTCTCTCAACAGACCAGCCTCTCTCAACAGACCAGCCTCTCAACATTTCAGCCTCTCTCAACAGACCAGCCTCTCTCAACAGACCAGACTTACCACATAACAGACCAGCCTCTCTCAACAGACCAGCCCCTCTCAACATATCAGCCTCTCTCAACAGACCAGCCTCTCAACATCCCAGTCTTACCACATAACAGACCAGCCTCTCTTAACAGATCAGCCTATCTCGACAGACCAGCCTCTCTCAACATACTAGCCTCTCTCAACATACCAGCCACACTCAACAGATCAGCCTCTCTCAACAGACAGTCTCTCTTGACATATCAGCCTCTCTCATACGGTCATAATATATCTGACAATACGGTTTCTGTTTTTACTATTATCATTCTACAAACCCAGCACCCACCAGATTTAGTAAAATAAACTGTGAGAATAGAAAGATGTTATAAATAAAGCATAACCTTCAACAGTTAACAAGTCTAGTGCTAAATACAGACATAATGAATACACTCGAAAGCGATAAAGCCATACTAAAACATCTCTATTAAAAATTAAACTGACCCCATAATGCAGAATATACTCAAATAATTAAAATATGAGCCCAAAACTATAATCTAAATATTATGAAGTGTTAATTATAACTTAAAAATAACTAAATCACGTTCATCGGACAAAACGAACGAACGCGGCTGAGACCGAAATTCTCGGTTCAAAACGGCTAAGTCTGCGCGCGCACAGATAGACGGTTTGCACCGAGAATTTTAGACCGAGCAAACCGTCTATCTTTTTAAACCTGCTATAATTTTGGAAATATCAACAAAACCCATTTTAAAACGCTACAGTATAGTCGGTAGAGAGTTTCTTCGGAGATATCTTTAAAAAAAATTTGTATTAGAGCGATCGAGAAGGAAATAATCAGTTTTTTGTCTCTCCTGTAAAATTTACATTTTCGGAGTTAGACGGTTTGCGACCGAGACCATCGATATATATATATATATATGTATATACACATATACATATATAGCCTACTCTTTTTGTTTGTTGTTTATTTAATTTTAACCACGTGCCCGTTTCACCCACGACGCTACTATTAGTGCATTGAATGACTACATCTCTTGTGTGAACGAGTTTGCATGGGGCTGTGACGATGATTCCATTGTGCATTATCATGAAGAGATAATTACACGGGGAAAGTATGTCTGCACCAATGTGTCGAAAAAAGGTATGGCTATTCTCAATCTGTGGTAGGAGGCTCGGCCCAAGTTAGCCTATTCTAATAGACCCAATTTTGTTATACCAGCGGGTGGTAGACAACAACTAATTGCACAACTTTCTCAGCCTTCTTTAGACAGCGAGCTCACGCTGTAAGCCCGTGTTCATTCTCACTTTGTTATCATTGTATTTGTCAACCTAAAAAACAATCAACAAGGCTGTAGTTGTTTGATTAATCTTGTTTTATGTACTAGATACGTTGTTATCCCCAGCTATCGAGCCTCATCTGCCTGGGGGTTCAATCTCGGGAATTTTAAGTATAAGTATAAGAACCATGCAATACACATATACTAAACCCTGCACAAACATTAAAACCCACTTATATAAACACACTTTTAGAGGCATGTAGAACATGGAAAAAATATATTAAATAACTTGATTTGCCGTTACCTGAAACCTATTCCAATTCTTTTTCCCACGATGTATGTAACATATATGGGCACTCCTTTGTTCCTCTTTCACTATAGGTACTTTCGGGTAGAAAAGCAATACATTCTACTACTCACAACGTCACATTACAACACATTACACCATATAACAACAAATGGCACAACATCACAACACATGACATCACATCACATCACTTTACATCACACTACACACCACACCACTGTACGCCAGAGCACACCACATCATACTACACCACATCACATCAAACCACTGTACACAACAGCACAGCACATTATATAGCACACGGCCACACGACATCACACCACACCACATCACACAACATCACGCCACACCACATCACACAACATCACACCACACAACTTCACACCACATCACACAACATCACACCACGCCACATCAATTCACACAACACTGTACACACAGCACACCACATTATATAGCACCACGCCACACTAAATCACACCACACAACTACACTCCACGCCACATCACACCACATCACACCACATCACACCACACCACATCACATCACATCACACCACATCGCACCACATCACACCACATCACACCACACCACATCACACCACATCACACCACATCACACCACATCACACCACATCACACCACATCACACCACATCACACCACACCACATCACATCACATCACACCACATCGCACCACATCACACCACATCACACCACATCACACCACACCACATCACAATACATCACACCACATCACACCACATCACACCACATCACACCACATCACACCACATCACATCACACCACATCACACCACATCACTCCACCACACCACACAACATCACACCACATCACACCACATCACACCACATCACATCACATCACACCACATCACACCACATCACTCCACCACACCACACCACATCACACCACATCATACCACATCACACCACATCAAACCACATCACACTACATCACACTACATCACACCACATCACACCACATCACACCACATCACATCACATCAAACCACATCTCGCCACATCACAACACATCACAACACATCATTCCACCACACCACACCACATCACACTACATCACACCACATAACACCACATCACACCACATCACACCACATCACACCACATCACTCCACATCACACCACATCTCACCACATCTCACCACATCACACCACATTAATCACACGATACCACATAACACAACTCTACATCACACCACATCACAACACACTACATCACACAACACCACACTATATCACATAACACGACATCAAACAACATCACACCACATTACAACAAACCACAACACACCACATCACATCACACAACACCACATCACACTACACCACTCTACATCACAACACGCCAGATCACATTACTTCAGACCACATTACATCACATCACACCACATCACACTACATGACACCACTTCATACAACATCACACAAGATCATAACACACCGCATCCAATAACATAACATCACATAACATAACATCATCCCACATCACATAACATCAAATAACATCACACCTCTTCACACCACACCACATGAAACCTAATGACACCACACAGCATCACATCGTATCATAAGACACCATCTAACATCAAACAATACCACATAACACCACATACAACCATATTACACCACATACCACCACTCCAGGACAAGAACAAGCTAAAACTAAATAAACCCCGCTACATATCCCACACACCCCTCTTTCATATACTTACTTTCTGTTCACATTATATCCTTAATAAGCAGTTTTTTGACATGTTTAAATATTTATACTATAATTTATCTTAGTTTTCTAAACTTTTTTTTTGTTTAAACAATTTGTCTTTTTTACTAATGTTTAAATACCTTTTAATGTGAACAGCTGTTAACGATTTGACTGCTTCACGATGCCTTACTGATACGAAGAAGAAGGAAGAAGTTGAAAATGCGATAGACTTTTGTTCATGGATTACCTACAAATATCCTTACAATCAAATTGAGGACGTGTGCCAGTAATAAAACTTAATATTATAGTTTAGATGAAACATTATGTGACTAACTGTTTAAATGTTTAACCTAATGACGTATGCGTTAGACGTTGTATCGACAAGAAAAACACATATACAGATAGGAATTATACTTTGTGGATAACATCAGAAAACAATATATATACAATTCAAAACAATGTTTTAATAGGTTATAAAATAATCCGTTAAGTAGATTCAGTTTATTCTATACGAAAAAAATCTTAAAATATCTTTCATATCATATTCATATTATATTTTTTTACAGAAATTTAAAATTATTTAATATTTAAGATATATATTTTTTGGATCAATTGTCTTTAGATCAAAAGACCTGATACCATTTAAACTAAAATTATTTGCCGTGAGATAATTAATTTGTAATGAGATCATTTGTCCTGAGATTGTTTTTCAAGAGATTATTAGTAAAAAGGATAATTTATAATGCGATCATTGGTCCGTGAGATCATTTGCCTGTCATCATTTGTCCTGGGATGATTTGTCCGGAGATCATTCGTCCTAAGATCGTTTTTCATGAAAATTTGTAAACGGATCATCTGTTATGAGATATTATTTTTTTTTTAATTTGGGATCCTTTTTAATGAGTTATTTTATAAATTTAGCTTCTAATTTAGTGTTTCTGAAATATGTATGTATGTTAGATCATTTTTCCTAATAATTTGTCTTTAGACGATTTATTCTGAGATAATTTGTCCTGAGATTATTTATTCTGAGATAATTTGTCCTGAGTTCATTTTTCATATGATCATTTCTCCCGCAATCATCTGTGCTGAGATAATTTGTAATGACATTATTTGTTAAGAGATCGTTTTCCTTGAGATATTTTCAAATGAGATCATTTGTCCTGAGATTATTTGTCGTAGTATCATTTGACATTAGATCATTTAAATTTTTGTCTTGGGATAATTTATCGTGAGATCAATATATTCGGGCCATTAGTCCTGATATCATTTGTAAGGAGAGTGCTTTTACTGAGAAAATTACCGTGTCTCCATTTCATATCTACAAATAGGCTTGGATCACTTATGCAGAGCTGTTATGAAACAAAGTTGACTGCTTTGTGTGGTAGAGCTGGAGGGGACTTCTACAGCAGGTTAATCTGGGAAGAGTTGGAGGGACGATTTTTCGCTTATGGCTGTAAATTGGAGGAGGAAAAACATAAAGGTCTAGATAAAGATAATTTAACGTTTCAAAAATTTTAAAAAGGTTTATAGAAATTTAAATAAGTTTATTGTACATATAAAAATTGTATTATGATTGGAAATTACATTTTCATTTAAATTGTGTCTAAATCAATTGATGAGCATTATTATAACAAATGAAAACACTTTTGGATGTGTATCTCGTATCACAACACGCAAATGGTTACACATTTTATTATTTTAGTAAGCTGGAAAAAATGTAATCTACTTACTGAATGCTTGGAGGATGAAATACGCAGCTTACTATATAAATTTTACAACAGCATGGACAATACAACACTCACAGCCTTTTGTTAGTGAGTTGCAATTTCTTACATCGGTTAAATTTAAAAAGAATAAGTTAACGAATGTATTCTCAATTCATGAAATGTTTATAGGCTAATTTGTCAGGATGTTGTCAATCTAGAGTTACTCTTAAAAACTATTGTAAACATAAACATAAACATAAACATAAACATAAACATAAACATAAACATAAACATAAACATAAACATAAACATAAACATAAACATAAACATAAACATAAACATAAACATAAACATAAACATAAACATAAACATAAACATAAACATAAACATAAACATAAACATAAACATAAACATAAACATAAACATAAACATAAACATAAACATAAACATAAACATAAACATAAACATAAACATAAACATAAACATAAACATAAACATAAACATAAACATAAACATAAACATAAACATAAACATAAACATAAACATAAACATAAACATAAACATAAACATAAACATAAACATAAACATAAACATAAACATAAACATAAACATAAACATAAACATAAACATAAACATAAACATAAACATAAACATAAACATAAACATAAACATAAACATAAACATAAACATAAACATAAACATAAACATAAACATAAACATAAACATAAACATAAACATAAACATAAACATAAACATAAACATAAACATAAACATAAACATAAACATAAACATAAACATAAACATAAACATAAACATAAACATAAACATAAACATAAACATAAACATAAACATAAACATAAACATAAACATAAACATAAACATAAACATAAACATAAACATAAACATAAACATAAACATAAACATAAACATAAACATAAACATAAACATAAACATAAACATAAACATAAACATAAACATAAACATAAACATAAACATAAACATAAACATAAACATAAACATAAACATAAACATAAACATAAACATAAACATAAACATAAACATAAACATAAACATAAACATAAACATAAACATAAACATAAACATAAACATAAACATAAACATAAACATAAACATAAACATAAACATAAACATAAACATAAACATAAACATAAACATAAACATAAACATAAACATAAACATAAACATAAACATAAACATAAACATAAACATAAACATAAACATAAACATAAACATAAACATAAACATAAACATAAACATAAACATAAACATAAACATAAACATAAACATAAACATAAACATAAACATAAACATAAACATAAACATAAACATAAACATAAACATAAACATAAACATAAACATAAACATAAACATAAACATAAACATAAACATAAACATAAACATAAACATAAACATAAACATAAACATAAACATAAACATAAACATAAACATAAACATAAACATAAACATAAACATAAACATAAACATAAACATAAACATAAACATAAACATAAACATAAACATAAACATAAACATAAACATAAACATAAACATAAACATAAACATAAACATAAACATAAACATAAACATAAACATAAACATAAACATAAACATAAACATAAACATAAACATAAACATAAACATAAACATAAACATAAACATAAACATAAACATAAACATAAACATAAACATAACATAAACATAAACATAAACATAAACATAAACATAAACATAAACATAAACATAAACATAAACATAAACATAAACATAAACATAAACATAAACATAAACATAAACATAAACATAAACATAAACATAAACATAAACATAAACATAAACATAAACATAAACATAAACATAAACATAAACATAAACATAAACATAAACATAAACATAAACATAAACATAAACATAAACATAAACATAAACATAAACATAAACATAAACATAAACATAAACATAAACATAAACATAAACATAAACATAAACATAAACATAAACATAAACATAAACATAAACATAAACATAAACATAAACATAAACATAAACATAAACATAAACATAAACATAAACATAAACATAAACATAAACATAAACATAAACATAAACATAAACATAAACATAAACATAAACATAAACATAAACATAAACATAAACATAAACATAAACATAAACATAAACATAAACATAAACATAAACATAAACATAAACATAAACATAAACATAAACATAAACATAAACATAAACATAAACATAAACATAAACATAAACATAAACATAAACATAAACATAAACATAAACATAAACATAAACATAAACATAAACATAAACATAAACATAAACATAAACATAAACATAAACATAAACATAAACATAAACATAAACATAAACATAAACATAAACATAAACATAAACATAAACATAAACATAAACATAAACATAAACATAAACATAAACATAAACATAAACATAAACATAAACATAAACATAAACATAAACATAAACATAAACATAAACATAAACATAAACATAAACATAAACATAAACATAAACATAAACATAAACATAAACATAAACATAAACATAAACATAAACATAAACATAAACATAAACATAAACATAAACATAAACATAAACATAAACATAAACATAAACATAAACATAAACATAAACATAACATAAACATAAACATAAACATAAACATAAACATAAACATAAACATAAACATAAACATAAACATAAACATAAACATAAACATAAACATAAACATAAACATAAACATAAACATAAACATAAACATAAACATAAACATAAACATAAACATAAACATAAACATAAACATAAACATAAACATAAACATAAACATAAACATAAACATAAACATAAACATAAACATAAACATAAACATAAACATAAACATAAACATAAACATAAACATAAACATAAACATAAACATAAACATAAACATAAACATAAACATAAACATAAACATAAACATAAACATAAACATAAACATAAACATAAACATAAACATAAACATAAACATAAACATAAACATAAACATAAACATAAACATAAACATAAACATAAACATAAACATAAACATAAACATAAACATAAACATAAACATAAACATAAACATAAACATAAACATAAACATAAACATAAACATAAACATAAACATAAACATAAACATAAACATAAACATAAACATAAACATAAACATAAACATAAACATAAACATAAACATAAACATAAACATAAACATAAACATAAACATAAACATAAACATAAACATAAACATAAACATAAACATAAACATAAACATAAACATAAACATAAACATAAACATAAACATAAACATAAACATAAACATAAACATAAACATAAACATAAACATAAACATAAACATAAACATAAACATAAACATAAACATAAACATAAACATAAACATAAACATAAACATAAACATAAACATAAACATAAACATAAACATAAACATAAACATAAACATAAACATAAACATAAACATAAACATAAACATAAACATAAACATAAACATAAACATAAACATAAACATAAACATAAACATAAACATAAACATAAACATAAACATAAACATAAACATAAACATAAACATAAACATAAACATAAACATAAACATAAACATAAACATAAACATAAACATAAACATAAACATAAACATAAACATAAACATAAACATAAACATAAACATAAACATAAACATAAACATAAACATAAACATAAACATAAACATAAACATAAACATAAACATAAACATAAACATAAACATAAACATAAACATAAACATAAACATAAACATAAACATAAACATAAACATAAACATAAACATAAACATAAACATAAACATAAACATAAACATAAACATAAACATAAACATAAACATAAACATAAACATAAACATAAACATAAACATAAACATAAACATAAACATAAACATAAACATAAACATAAACATAAACATAAACATAAACATAAACATAAACATAAACATAAACATAAACATAAACATAAACATAAACATAAACATAAACATAAACATAAACATAAACATAAACATAAACATAAACATAAACATAAACATAAACATAAACATAAACATAAACATAAACATAAACATAAACATAAACATAAACATAAACATAAACATAAACATAAACATAAACATAAACATAAACATAAACATAAACATAAACATAAACATAAACATAAACATAAACATAAACATAAACATAAACATAAACATAAACATAAACATAAACATAAACATAAACATAAACATAAACATAAACATAAACATAAACATAAACATAAACATAAACATAAACATAAACATAAACATAAACATAAACATAAACATAAACATAAACATAAACATAAACATAAACATAAACATAAACATAAACATAAACATAAACATAAACATAAACATAAACATAAACATAAACATAAACATAAACATAAACATAAACATAAACATAAACATAAACATAAACATAAACATAAACATAAACATAAACATAAACATAAACATAAACATAAACATAAACATAAACATAAACATAAACATAAACATAAACATAAACATAAACATAAACATAAACATAAACATAAACATAAACATAAACATAAACATAAACATAAACATAAACATAAACATAAACATAAACATAAACATAAACATAAACATAAACATAAACATAAACATAAACATAAACATAAACATAAACATAAACATAAACATAAACATAAACATAAACATAAACATAAACATAAACATAAACATAAACATAAACATAAACATAAACATAAACATAAACATAAACATAAACATAAACATAAACATAAACATAAACATAAACATAAACATAAACATAAACATAAACATAAACATAAACATAAACATAAACATAAACATAAACATAAACATAAACATAAACATAAACATAAACATAAACATAAACATAAACATAAACATAAACATAAACATAAACATAAACATAAACATAAACATAAACATAAACATAAACATAAACATAAACATAAACATAAACATAAACATAAACATAAACATAAACATAAACATAAACATAAACATAAACATAAACATAAACATAAACATAAACATAAACATAAACATAAACATAAACATAAACATAAACATAAACATAAACATAAACATAAACATAAACATAAACATAAACATAAACATAAACATAAACATAAACATAAACATAAACATAAACATAAACATAAACATAAACATAAACATAAACATAAACATAAACATAAACATAAACATAAACATAAACATAAACATAAACATAAACATAAACATAAACATAAACATAAACATAAACATAAACATAAACATAAACATAAACATAAACATAAACATAAACATAAACATAAACATAAACATAAACATAAACATAAACATAAACATAAACATAAACATAAACATAAACATAAACATAAACATAAACATAAACATAAACATAAACATAAACATAAACATAAACATAAACATAAACATAAACATAAACATAAACATAAACATAAACATAAACATAAACATAAACATAAACATAAACATAAACATAAACATAAACATAAACATAAACATAAACATAAACATAAACATAAACATAAACATAAACATAAACATAAACATAAACATAAACATAAACATAAACATAAACATAAACATAAACATAAACATAAACATAAACATAAACATAAACATAAACATAAACATAAACATAAACATAAACATAAACATAAACATAAACATAAACATAAACATAAACATAAACATAAACATAAACATAAACATAAACATAAACATAAACATAAACATAAACATAAACATAAACATAAACATAAACATAAACATAAACATAAACATAAACATAAACATAAACATAAACATAAACATAAACATAAACATAAACATAAACATAAACATAAACATAAACATAAACATAAACATAAACATAAACATAAACATAAACATAAACATAAACATAAACATAAACATAAACATAAACATAAACATAAACATAAACATAAACATAAACATAAACATAAACATAAACATAAACATAAACATAAACATAAACATAAACATAAACATAAACATAAACATAAACATAAACATAAACATAAACATAAACATAAACATAAACATAAACATAAACATAAACATAAACATAAACATAAACATAAACATAAACATAAACATAAACATAAACATAAACATAAACATAAACATAAACATAAACATAAACATAAACATAAACATAAACATAAACATAAACATAAACATAAACATAAACATAAACATAAACATAAACATAAACATAAACATAAACATAAACATAAACATAAACATAAACATAAACATAAACATAAACATAAACATAAACATAAACATAAACATAAACATAAACATAAACATAAACATAAACATAAACATAAACATAAACATAAACATAAACATAAACATAAACATAAACATAAACATAAACATAAACATAAACATAAACATAAACATAAACATAAACATAAACATAAACATAAACATAAACATAAACATAAACATAAACATAAACATAAACATAAACATAAACATAAACATAAACATAAACATAAACATAAACATAAACATAAACATAAACATAAACATAAACATAAACATAAACATAAACATAAACATAAACATAAACATAAACATAAACATAAACATAAACATAAACATAAACATAAACATAAACATAAACATAAACATAAACATAAACATAAACATAAACATAAACATAAACATAAACATAAACATAAACATAAACATAAACATAAACATAAACATAAACATAAACATAAACATAAACATAAACATAAACATAAACATAAACATAAACATAAACATAAACATAAACATAAACATAAACATAAACATAAACATAAACATAAACATAAACATAAACATAAACATAAACATAAACATAAACATAAACATAAACATAAACATAAACATAAACATAAACATAAACATAAACATAAACATAAACATAAACATAAACATAAACATAAACATAAACATAAACATAAACATAAACATAAACATAAACATAAACATAAACATAAACATAAACATAAACATAAACATAAACATAAACATAAACATAAACATAAACATAAACATAAACATAAACATAAACATAAACATAAACATAAACATAAACATAAACATAAACATAAACATAAACATAAACATAAACATAAACATAAACATAAACATAAACATAAACATAAACATAAACATAAACATAAACATAAGCATAAGCATAAACATAAACATAAACATAAACATAAACATAAACATAAACATAAACGTAAACGTAAACGTAAACGTAAACGTAAACGTAAACGTAAACGTAAACGTAAACGTAAACGTAAACGTAAACGTAAACGTAAACATAATCATAAACATAAACAAAAACAAAAACATAAACATAAACATAAACAAAAACATAAACATAAACATAAACATAAACATAAACATAAACATAAACATAAACATAAACATAAACATAAACATAAACATAAACATAAACAAAAACAAAAACAAAAACGTAAACGTAAACGTAAACGTAAACGTAAACGTAAACGTAAACGTAAACGTAAACGTAAACGTAAACGTAAACGTAAACGTAAACGTAAACGTAAACGTAAACGTAAACGTAAACGTAAACGTAAACGTAAACGTAAACGTAAACGTACACGTACACGTACACGTACACGTACACGTACACGTACACGTACACGTAAACGTAAACGTACACGTACACGTACACGTACACGTACACGTACACGTACACGTACACGTACACGTACACGTACACGTACACGTACACGTACACGTACACGTACACGTACACGTACACGTACACGTACACGTACACGTACACGTACTCGTCGACGTCAACGTCAACGTCAACGTCAACGTCAACGTCAACGTAAACGTAAACGTAAACGTAAACCTAAACATAAACATAAACATAAACATAAACATAAACATAAACATAAACATAATCATAAACATAAACATAAACATAAACATAAACATAAACATAAACATAAACATAAACATAAACATAAACATAAACATTAACATAAACATAAACATAAACATAAACATAAACATAAACATAAACATAAACATAAACATAAACATAAACATAAACATAAACATAAACATAAACATAAACATAAACATAAACATAAACATAAACATAAACATAAACATGAACATGAACATAAACATAAACAAAAACAAAAACAAAAACATAAACATAAACATAAACATAAACGTAAACGTAAACGTAAACGTAAACGTAAACATAAACATAAACATAAACATAAACGTAAACGTAAACGTAAACGTAAACGTAAACATAAACGTAAACGTAAACGTAAACGTAAACGTAAACGTAAACGTAAACGTAAACGTAAACGTAAACGTAAACGTAAACGTAAACGTAAACGTAAACGTAAACGTAAACGTAAACGTAAACGTAAACGTAAACGTAAACGTAAACGTAAACGTAAACGTAAACGTAAACGTAAACGTAAACGTAAACGTAAACATAAACGTACACGTAAACGTACACGTACACGTACACGTACACGTACACGTACACGTACACGTACACGTACACGTACACGTACACGTACACGTCGACGTCGACGTCAACGTCAACGTAAACGTAAACGTAAACGTTAACGTTAACGTTAACGTTAACGCAAACCTTAACGGAAATGTTTATATATATATATATATATATATATATATATATATATATATATATATATATATATATATATATATATATATATATATATATATATATATATATATATATATATATATATATATATATATATATATATATATATATATATATATATATATATATATATATATATATATAGGTCTATTTATACTAACTTTTCAAACTATTCCACATGACCAAAGTGAATTTAATACATATACCAATTGCTTGGCAATACACAAAGACTGTGACAATACCATGATTGTAGATTTCTATGAGAAGGATGTTACAGCTGGACACTATTTGTGCACCGATGAAGTGAAAAAAGGTATGGTTATTCATTATCAATGCAGCGTTTTTTTGTTAACTAGTAGAATAAGATCATGGTGGCACTGTTCAAATTGACCCAACTCTGTGATACGTACTCATTTAGAATACCTTTTGAAAACCCTCTTAAAAGCAGCTTTCCGTGAAATAAACATAATAGCGTTATCTCCCCTACGTGTCAAACGTTTAAAAACGTTATTATCTGCCCCTTTACTAGATCGACCGGCTCTACAATTTTTAACATTCGGTATGGATCAAAGCTCACCAGACTATTCGGATGATAACGTCAAACTCGTTAGCTCTTTTTCTTTTATTGAATATATTAATGATCGAGTGATTCAACATCGTTATTTCTTATTAGATTCAAAACAGTAATTTTTATTAACTAATAATTTTTAAAAAAAATAGACATTTATTTCCATTAGGTTGGGTTGTTTCTGGAAAGTTTGAACGAAATCGCCGCCTTAAATTTGGGAAAAAAATTGAGTTACAAGATTTGCTACCAATACACAAACAAACAAGCGAACAATTAGACAAGCGTTGTGAATTAAATAAAAGCTTGTAAAGCTTGTAACAAAAATGACTTTTTAATGGTCTGTACTACATTTCATCCTTATTGCCTGATATTTTATCAATAGATTTTTAAAATCTAAAATCTTAAACCCATGTTTTATATGAACAGCTGTTGAAGCTCTGACAGCTTCACAGTGCCTCATTGATGAGAACAAGAAGAAGAAGGTTGAAAATGCGGTTAATGTTTGTTATAACACCTACACAACTGATGAAGCAAATGACAATGCAGAAATGTGCAGGTAAAAAATTGAACACTTCTACCGTAATCCTATTGATATTTTGGTTGAGATAAACTGTTTGTTAACTCCTGGGAAAACAATAATGTATGCAAATTTTATTTAAGTTTATTGGGAAATAAAAAACAAATTATAATATTTTGATTGTAATAATAAGACTTTATGAATAACAGCAATAAAATATAATTAAAGTTACTGCATTATTTTAATGAAAATGTTAAAGTTTTCTTTAGGTAGTAAGTTTCTATAGGAGTAAATGTATTCGGTTGCATATTCTTTGGACATTTTGTAATTTAGAAGCATATAATAGGTGCATATATATATATATATATATATATATATATATATATATATATATATATATATATATATATATATATATATATATATATATATATATATATATATGCATTGATTATGAATAACCATACCTTTTTTCACTTCATCGGTGGAGAAATGTTTTCCAGCTGTAACATCCTATATAGGCCTATATATTGTTTGCCGTCCACTTGAAGCGCATTTCTTTTTTTTCCTGAGAGATGCTATTCTATTTTGAAACGATTAAGTAATTAAAAATGGATAAAAAATCATGTCTATATCTCGAGTTGCCATTCCCTGTAGTGTAATATAATAAAATAAGTTTTAGTGGAGATCACTCCCGCTTTTTAACCCTTTCCCCGGCGACTGGGTGTAATCGACCCGAAGTCGCTATATTTTTGCTCATATCTCGAGTCTCGTTTTATAAATTTTTCTGGGCCTCATTCCCATCTATAAGGTGGTTGGGATAAACACATTGGAGGTTGTAAATTTTAAAAATATGCGTAAAAAAATTTTTTATGAGGGTTTGAAATTTTTTTATACTGTCCCTGGCAACTGGGTGCTACACACCCGTACACAATTTTGAATGGAAAAAATATTTATAACTTATAAACTGGCTTCTAACAATTTGTTTTTACTCATTGTGGGTTAAGTCATTGTGTTACATTTTCAAAGTTTAACTATACATTAACAATCTGAAGGTATTTGAGTAACAAAAATATTAAACCGGATTGAAAAAATCAACTTTAGTAACAAAATAATAGAACATTAACACGTTTTTAAAATTTGCACACCAGAGAGCACAGTTGTTAGATAAAATTAAAATAACTGGACATTTCCTTTTGCTGGCAGGGAACTTTTGTTTTCTTTGACAAAATATGGGCACCCTTTTAGTGGTGTTACATGAGTCACAGGTCCAAAACATTTGAATTCCATACTTATCGGAATTGCTTGGTATGTATTGGATAAATCTACTCCCACCTCTAAAATCAACCACTTGCTAATTAGTAATGATCTCTCCAGAAACATAACACCTTTCTAAATTTGAATGGAATATCTACCATAATGGAAGCAAATATACCATGAGCCTGATGGACTGTTAGTGTTATTGTTGTGAAGTGAATATGACCCAGAAGGTTTCTGAATTTCTTCATAGAAAATTCTGCCTTCAAAAACTTCCATAAGCAGAACTGAATAGACATACAACTATATTGTTATTCTGCAGAGTGTCAGTGTCTCCGCTTGCTTTCTCTCCATCCCTGCTAATGCAGTCAAATATTGGTTGTATTATTTTTTGTATTCATGCACAGAAGAAATATTTAGGGTCAGGCTGTTTATAAATTTCCTGGGATTAGCACTTCAGGCAGTGGTCTAGTGTATTGTTACTTTGTCTTTCCTGAAAATATTTCTTTTTCTTCACTTTGCACCAGCCGTTTCATTTTATTATGAGTGCCAACTGTTGACACATTATTGATAGTTGAAATGCAGTATATTGGGTAGATCTCGTCATCAGAGCTGCTTGATACTGATGGCTGCCATTCTTCATCTTCTACTTCTGATACTAATAGTTCAGACTCAAAACTTGTTGGTCATTTTCACCTGCTATACTAAAACTGGCAAATATATTCCTTTATCATTAGCACTTGAGTTTAGACAAAAGCGTTCAAGACTTGTTTCTGTTGTGTTCTCAATAACGTTTGTGACTATTTATAAACCTAACTCTCAGGGTCACAACCTGTAGAACACCCACCCACTGCCAGTTTGATCAATTAATTGCCCAGTATAAACTTCCAAGCAGCATTACAAAGTTGTTTTGCCTTTTTGTCCTCATTCGTACTCCAAATGAGGTTAATGTCAAGTTACTCTAAAAGGCTCGAATGTCTCTATCTACATTCCAGAGCTCCCAAAAAGAGTACAAATCACTATATATGTCCTCCCACAGGCAATCTTACCCCTGCATTTCATTAACCTATTGTAACTCTAAACTACAGTTCTGTCTGTAACTGCAAGTCAGAGCTCCAGTAAAGAGTATAAATCACTACATGTGTCCACCCACAGGTTAACTCTTGCTTGAGAATCCCATCAACCACTAGTATCATATTACAGCTCTCCCATTGACAACAACATGTCTTGTGTTCCCCATGGCCTCTGTGCCCTGTATACCTCAACTGTGTCAGTATTGTTACCCACCCCACAATGAATAAAGAAAATAATTTACTATAAGAAAGTCTTTGGGTGTGATCCACCCAGTTGCCGGGGACAGGGTTAAGACATCAAAATGTTACGTCTCTTGTATTAAGATAATTTTTCTTGCCACTATATTGCATTAAATCTGTACAAAGATAAGTATTTGCTCTATTTTTCCTTCATTATGTATCTGAACATAACAAATCCAACATAAATTGTACACTTTTTTATTTTTGTGAACTAGAATTCTGAACAAAATGAAGGACTGTTATGATTTGGAACTGACAGCTGTTTGTGGTAAAATTGGAGGGGAATTCTACAGCACATTTAACTTTGAGAATGAGGAAGGATACTTTTACCAAAAGAATTGTATTAGGAACGAGCTTGCAACAGAACATTGGTACGTTATGGCACCTACTTAGGTGAAAGGAGAATCCTAGGTGTGCGATTTGTGCTAGCTAGTCAGGTCGATTCGGTAGTGTCATAAAATGTGGGACGGCGTGGCCTAGAGACAGAGCGCTAGGCTACTAAACCGAAAGTCTCGCGTTCGAATCCGAGTTCAAGTCAGCGGAACATCACTGTGTCCACCCACCTTGACGTTCCACTGACTGAATTCTGCCTGGAAGAAACTTGGGCACGAAAGGGAAAATACGATAATGATGATGATGATGTCATAAACTGAGACAGGTGTAGGAATCTACACCACGGTGTGTAAGATTAGCGATTATATTTTACAGAAGTGTCCAGTATATCTATTTTCGGTATGTCATTGACATTTAAAATCATCGCCAATAGCGTAATTGTACTACGAATTAAGATATATTTTCAAAAAATCATTGTAGATATAGAGAATACTATTAGAGATAAAAAGGGACAAAAAGAACATTTATTTTCAATATCCAGCAAGGTAGCTAAATTGGTCTACATACTTTTTTAAGTTAGTGGTTTTGTTACGTTTTACTATTACACAACTTAGTATAACTAATGGTATTTTGTATTGTTTTTCACTTTTTCCCCAGAAATTTGAGAAAGGCAGGATAAAATACGGATTTCGATGGTACTTATATACAATGTATCTGCCAATAAAAGTATAGATACCAATATCAGTTTAGATCTTTTATTTTAAGTATTGTTTTATGTGTCAGAATTATCCGGTGGAAATATTCGTTTTATGACATTTATATATTTTTACTTTTGTCTGCCTTAGACATTTAATTTACAGCGTCAGTCTTCTTCTTCTTTCTTCTTAGTTCTTAATTTTTAGTGTTGGAAGGGATCGAGCCTTAACTGCCAGAGGGTTTGAATTTATCAACCATGTGCTTTTGCCGACTCGATCATGCCTCCATCACAATTAAGAATACGTGTGAACTGTTTATGCACCATTGAGTCTGATTTCAGCCTGCTTTTCTTTTTTGGATTTGCTTCCATAGCCTTTGTCCAACCAAGAACAAACTACAAGGCAGCAGTTGTTTGATTTGGCTGTCCCCAGCTAACGAGCCTCATGTTCCCGAGGGTTCGAACTCGAGATTTTTCGGTTTAGCAACCATGAGCTTTACCGCTTCGACCACGCCGACCCCACAGCGTCAGTGATTTTCTTCCTTTAAGGATGGAGGGGAGGTCTTGAAACTTTACAGGGTTTGGGGAAGGATTACAAATGGTAGGGGGGGGGGGGCACTTGAGACCATTCGGGTGTGGCGGTGGTGTACATTTTCGGGGGCAGGGTCGAGAGGACACTTGTAAATGTTTTATAATCACTGAATGAGCCAGAAAAGGTAGAAAAAGATCCAATGCCGGTTATCGGAAATCGCATAAAAGTTGATACAAAAATACAAATGTGATATAATGCTTATATATGAATTTGTATGAACCTAGCTGTAACGGTACTTAAACTATCGTGTTCACAGACACACATACACACACAGTACGGACAAAATTGCAAAATTGTTTTTTTCGACTCAGGAAAGTGTGAAACGTCGAGATTTGTGAAAATATCGATGTCGATGTTTTTTCCACGATAACAATTCGACCTCTATACTTCGTATACGAGAAAGTAAAAAAAAAAACAATTGCTCAACAAGTGAACGCCAAACAATATGTGTATAATAGTGTGGAATATTATTAGTACTTTATAAATTCACGTGCGTTATTTTGAGAAATCTGAAAAAGCATAAATTACTTTTTTCGGTCAACGAAAATTACTCAAAATTTGTCAGAAGCCAGATAATTAGTTCTTTACTTACATGTGAAATTTCAGTTATCTATCTGAAACAGTACTGAAGTTATAGGCATTTGAAAAATTGAAATTAGAATAAATTCCATTTCCGGTTACCGGAAATTGCTGAAAAGTTGATACAGAACTACACATTTGATATAATAATAGTATATTAAATTTTAATAATTTTATCAACCTAGCTATAACTTTTACTCAAGTTTTCATGTTCACAGACTCAATTACACACATACATACACACACACAGAGACATTTGGACAAAATTGCAAAACTATGTTTTTCTGACTTAGAGAGGTGTAAAACATCGAGAGTTGCAAAGGCGTGGTGGTATCTTAGAGGTTGTAGATTGCTTAAATTAGACTAATCGTGGGTTGCTTAATCGTGAATTGAGAATATTGAGTCGCTGAGCTGAAAAGCCACTGGGAGTGTTTTGGAGTAGTCGAGTGAGTTAATCGTATCGAACTGATAGTATCGAGTTTATGGCATCGAGTTGATGATTTTGGTTTGATGAATCGAGATGATTGTATTGCATCATTAGGTAATGTTTGTGAGAAGTAATAAGTTGAGTAATAGAGAGTTTATGATATCGTGTTGTTGGTTGTTGATTGTAGTTGGCCTAGAGGTAGCCCGAAAGTCACAAGTTCGGATCATGGGCTCGAGGCCGTGGGTTGCCCTTGACCAAACTGCCCCTCATGACTAAACAGGTGATGCGATGCACTGGGGGAGGAATGAAAAGCCTGGAGGGTCTAGCTACTACGAACATTGGTGAGAGAAATGCTCGATTCCAAACCCTGTAAAGTCTGCCTGGCTAATGAGCAATAGCTTGAACCGGTAATTGCGTACAGGAGAAGATACATTGTTCTAGGTTTTCGTGATAAATGTACTGAGTTAATTCGTTCTATTCTGTGTGTATGTGTGAGCGGGGAGGGGGAACCAATAATACGGTTAACTAGTGGTGGTCGTAGGCAAGATGGTGGTGTCAGTTGTCCTACCGTCACGCGAAGTAATTGTTAGGTTTGGGCATATTTGTGATGTATCTTGACCGGTACATGTCTGAAGTAAGCTGCCAGGATTGGAAATAAGTGAACGGTTTTTTTGACATGGTACAGGTCTTGAGTCAGCTTGTCTAGTTTTAGAAATATTTGTACTTAATGTTATCTAGGCATCACACGCTTATTTGCTAAAAGTATAATCGTTATTGATGTCGCAAAGTGCATAATGCCCATGAGTTGGCAGTTTCCCAAATAGACGGTGTTTACACTAATCTCTGCTAACTACTAGTAAGAACGTGTAAGCTGACACCAAACCAGTGATGATCTAAAGCGGATTAGTACAACCATAATGTGTTCTCATGTAATCTCAATGCATTGGGTCCCACGTTGAGATTGATCCTGTACAAGATTAGCTTTACAATAACACGATTCAACTATTTCCGGTATATGCTATGGCTACTAAGCTGAGGTATGGAACAGAATTATTAAAACAATGAATATTTAATCCTTGCTGTATATCCTCCCGCATCATAAAACTTCTTCAATTGTAAAACTAAATTTCTTGCTTTGTCATTGCATTAGAATAGTGCCAACATAAATGAATCATTTTTTTAACCACTAGTAAATGAGTAAAACTTATAAGTCTATTTCGGATCAGTAAGTTGATATCATGATTGCTTACTACCCGTACGTACGTCTACCCTTGTTGTGATACACGACTGTTTTAAGCCTCGTTTTGAATAACTTAATGCAATGCAGTGGATTCATACATGGTTCAGCGGCGTCAATATAATTTGTATGTAGCATTGTTTATATCTGTTGTTCGAAAATTTGCCTGGGTTTCGTTTATTTATCTAAAAATATCTGCAATTCTGAATTATGTCTGAGAAAATACACACATTTTATTACACTTGTGTACTACATTTGCATAGTACTGCTGACCCGAAAATTCGGATACAGGATCATGCCTGTAGAACGTCCCTGAGTCTATCCAGCTCTGATGTTGTCGAACTCACGATAAGGAAACTGCTAGGCATAGTGCTGACCACATTATCCATTGGTATGCTGATGCCGCTGAAAAAGGTGATTCTACCTCACCTGCCCCATGGAAAGGGTACTTTACTTTTACTAACAGATCATGTACTAAATTTCATCTAAAGACTGTGATGACATATACGGTTTTAGTAGTTTTACAAGTTTTTTTTTCGAGTCTTGTTTATGGGTATCTTTGTATTTATACAAAAGAAACGAACAAAATAATTTAATTTCTTTTAAAATCAAAGTCACGTCGTCTATTTTATAACAATATGAATTTTTAAAGTTTTTTTTTATTTCTTATAATTATCAAGTTTTTTTGGGAATATATCATATTTTTTAAATAAATATTTATAACAACTAAACTTGTTACGGATTTTTGAATCTTATGAGATCAAAGACAGGTTTTCGAGTCGCCTACTTTATTTAACCATGTGTCCTCTTAGATACTTAGATACGTGAATTATGTAAAGTGGTTTAGAAGCTGAACCTCTCTTTGATGTGTACATTCTGTAAAGTAGATCCGACGCTGTGTGATTGTGGCTAAAAAAAGCCCCGTTAACATATTTAAACGGCGTATGCCTCGCTTGTGTTCAATTGAGTGGACAGTATAACAAGAACACACGCACGAACATACTGGGACAGCTTACGTTTCTACCTGTTAAAGATGACCACCGTAATCAAAGTTGTTCTGATCTTTGCCGCGTTTGTTGTGACGGCAGGTGAGTGGTAGAGCGCTAGTATGCTAATTCGAAAGTCTTACCTTAATTTAGGCTAGCTATAATTTACTACATGATTATCTCCAATGAAAAAGACTCGACACTTAGTCCTCGTTTACGTCGGCGGTTCCTATAGGCCCTACCCATGAGTTATATGTTACAATACAATCATTCACCAGAAAATTTATATATATAATTCTCTTCTTGGAGACGTTAGAAAACAAGCTGTAAGCGCGTCTTGCAGTCCCCTCTCTTCATCTCTAGGAAGTCTGGTGAGGTTTGGTTCACGCTAAATGTTTACAATCGTAGAGCCGGGTTTACTGACGGCTATTAAGGCCAGATAATCTAGCTTGAAACGATTTTAAACTTAGGGGACGTAGCTAAGAGGAGGTTACTTTCACGGGGTTGGGGGGGGGGTGGTTTAGGGGTTGCGGAAAAGGATGGGGGGGGGGGGGGAATTATCGTCCTTAACGACTTACTGATTGTGTTTTAAAGCAAATATTTTCAGTGACAGCAGTGGTACTGTCGAATTCACTAATTATGAATCACTGAAAAGTAGAAAATAAAAAAACTAAATAGCGGCGTCGGCGTATGATACGCCGCGGGTCGGCTCGTATTATTTAATACGCTGGTGTTAAATACTGTTCTCAATACGTTTTTCTATTCTATACTCTTTACACAAAGTTTACTGCGCCTATTTGCGACAAATCCTATAAATTAAAAAAAAATGTTATCCGTCTTAAATTCTCTTGCATAGTTAAGTTCCCTGTGCATTTAACAAATGAAATAAAGATTATTTTTTGTATTAAAATTCCATTTTAAACCATCAAATTGTAATAGTTTTATTTTTGCTTTATGATTTAACGATATCATTATTTACAGTAAAATATAATTCATTATATTGTGATAATTATAACTAGTTTCAAATGTATCTTGATAACATCTATTTTATTAGCCTTGGTGCAATAAAACACCATAAGAACAGTCACATGTTTTTAAAATCAGAAAGCCCCAACAAATAAGTCCCACTAAGTAAATCCTTGTCCATGACTTTAAATTGTACATATTACTTGTGGAATTAGAAAGCCACGAGGAATGCACCGCACTTAAGGAATGCGTGACTCCTGGCATTAAACAATTCTTGCCTCGTCCATACTACTACATAGACAGTAAAACACTGGAAACATTTTGTAGGTGAGTATCAATCCTGACTGTTTATATATATTTGATTATAACTTTAAAATATTATGACGGAGGCAATATTATCAGTCAAATTGGCATGTTCTTAGACTAGCGTCTAGAGAAGTTAGAAGAATAGATTTACACAACAAGTTTAACAAGAATGTCGAACATGAAATAATCCATCATTTTTAAAAATATTTTTTACCCAGAAATAGTCAAGATAATTACCATCAGCGGCTCTATATATTTCAACTTTTAATTTTAAAAGTAAATACACCTGTATTAAAAATTTTTTTTAAAAAATTATATATATATATATATATATATATATATACATATATATATATATATATATATATATATATATATATATATATATATATATATATATATATATATAAAGCTATGTATGTGTGTCTGTCCGTGTGTCTGTCATTTATGCATTACTACACCTCTCATCACATCGCCGTGAAACTTTGGGAAGTTGTTGTGAATATTTCTGGGAAGGATTCTGCGGAAAAAAATTCAAATTCGCATGGGTGGAGCCCCTGCAGGGCGCAATTTGTTTTTCTCTTTATACGGTTTATAAAAATTAAAATAGATTTTGGTTTGACACCATTCATCCGATCGCCATCAAACTTTGGTGAGTTCATTAGAACACTCTTTGGAAGGGTTCAGTAAAAACATTTTTAATTTCGCAAGGGCGTCGCCACGGGAGGGTGCGATCCTTCTCTTTATACGATTTATAAAAAATGATAGTCAGATGCGGTTCGACACCGCTTATCAGCGTGCCATAAAACTTTAGGGAGTTGATGAATACTCCCGAAATCAACCCTGTTGATTTGTGTAACTTTAGCGAATGACGCAATCTGTATCGTTGTTTCTGGATGCTCTGGGTTATCCTGTTTGTTATTTTTAAGGAGCCAGCGGCCGTACGCTGCGCCTCTGTGGTAGTGTTTTCGGGGAGTTCCTGAGAGTGCCCCTCTACGTTTCTGATACATGGGCGGTCACGAAGTGTGTTCTACCTCATTGTTTCGATGAGTGATTAACGTACATTCAAGGATTTCAAGCGATAGTGTAGGTAAACCCGTGTCCCGTTAATTATGATCCTAGCGCAGGCATTGTTTACATTTGAATGTATCAGTTTTAGATAACAATGTCACGCGTCTTAGTACATAGAATTTGCAAGGCATTGATGAAACCCTTCTTATATATTTCGTCAGACTTTCTATTATCCCCGAGGCAACGCGTGGGGGACGTATACTAGTATAAAAATAAAAATACATAAGTAAAATGTTTAAAATATTTAAATAAATAAATTAATGAATAAATGAATAAATCTATAAATAATCGAATAAGATAACAATAAATTGAAAGAATGAATGAATGAGCAAATGAACGAACGAACGAACGAACGAACGAACGAACGAACGAAAGAACGAACGAACGAACGAAAGAACGAACGAACAAACGAACGAACGAACGAACGAACGAACGAACGAACGAACGAACGAACGAACGAACGAACAAACGAACGAACGAACGAACGAACGAACGAACGAACGAACGAACGAACGAACGAACGAACGAACAAACGAACGAACGAACGAACGAACAAACGAACGAACGATCGAACGAACGAACGATCGAACGAACAAACGAACGAGCGAATGAACGAACGAACGAACGAACGATCGATCGAACGAACGAACGAACGAACGAACGAACGAACGAACGAACGAAAGAACGATCGAACAAACGAACGAACGAACGAACGAACGAACGAATGAATGAATGAATGAATGAATATATATATACGAGAAAAATGGCCCGTTGAGGAAGGATACAACGGGCGCTAGGTTGATAGTGCTGTCTATTTTCTCTAAACTAAAACCTAACCCCCCCCCCCCCCACACACACACACCCCAAAACATGTCTACCGTCAGATTCAACGAAATATAATTATATACTTTTTCCAGTGTCCGCCCCCTCTCAGAAAATTCTACCCCCGCCCCCCGAAAATTTCAAGTACCCCCACCCCTATCCGGGGAGGAAAAAGTCTGAAAGAAACACTGGTCGCGTTTGTAGATCATACAATCTAAAGGAAGAACCTGGGCGTGGCTTCGTTCCTACCGGAAGAGATGCATGAAAAAAAACTGCGCACGCTAAACACTTTTTAGATTAGAAAAAGTTCCTCCCTCCGGGGAGGAAAAAGTCTGAAAGAAACACTGGTGTCGCGTTAGCCACTACCCTAAGAATTGCATGAAAGAAACTCTGCACTCAAACCACTTTTTAGATTAGACACATGAATTAGGCGGTAATTTTATTATAGAGTATCGATGACGACATTTCTTTTGAGTTGGGGGGGGGGGGGTTCGGCTTAGACGTTCTTACGCGGGGGATGGGCTTCGCCCCTGCCCGATGAATTGTATGAAAGAAACTCTTCACGCAAACCACTTTAAAGATTAGACAAAATTGGCTTTTTAATTCAATGTTTACTCGAGAATCAATGACGTCATATTATTGTGAGCACTCTCCGGCTTGAGATTATTTTTTACTATATGCTAAATGTGATGTCGTATTTCGTTTCCGTCATACTCTGAAAGTTTTTATTTTGCTTGTGTTTTCTCTAGAGCGTTCAGATACATAGGCAGATACATAGACAGACAGCGAAGCTATAAGTATTTATATATATATATATATATATATATATATATATATATATATATATATATATATATATATATATATATATATATATATATATAAACTAGCGGGGATAGAAGAAAGTTTGACGAAATGTATTAGAAGGATTTCACCAACGCGTTACCAATCATATGTTCTTAGACGCGTGACCGTCTTTTCTAAAAGTGAGTTATTTAAATGCAAACAATGCCTGCGCTTAAATCATAAATATCGGGATACGGGTTTACCTACACTACCGCATGTAAACATTGAGTGTACATTAACCACTCACCGAAATAATGTTAGAACACACTTCGGTGACCGCCCATGTGTCAGAGACGCACAGGGGCACTCTCAGGGCCCCCACCCCCCGATTAGACTACCGCATAGGCGCGGCGTACGACCCCTGGCTCCTTAAAAGTAAAAGGCGCCATCGTGTCAAATAGCATTAATACTAATAGTTTCGCTTTCTGTCTATGTATCAATCTGACAAGAACGCTCTCGAGAAAACACAAGCAAAATAAAAACTTTCATAGTAATACGAAAACGAAACATGACGTCACATTAAGTATAGAGTAGAAAATAATATCAAGCAGGAGAGTGCACACAATAATATGACGTCATTGATTCTCGAGTAAACATTGACTGGCTTGTCTAATAGTAGATGCTTAATGCATCATTCGCAAAGTGACGAAACTCTAGAGGATGCTGCTCATATACAAAAAATTATTTTTTCATCTTTGGCAAGGTGACGAAACAGTACAGAAGGATTTCCTCGCGTTACAAAGTTATTTTTAGAAGCCTGTTGTAGTTTTACCGCTGAATATAGTAGTACCCCTTACTCGCTATGCAGGACGCTCGATTAACTGATGCCAAGTGCCAACATAGTCGCTCTAAAACTCTGGGCGTCAAACCGGGTATTGACGAAAGTTGTACCCTATATGGCGCCGCCCATAAGAAACTTTAGTTTTCTTTTTTGCAGAAATATTCTCGGCAGTATTCTCATCTACTCCCTAAAGTTTCATGGCACTCGGATGAACCGCATCCGAGTTTTATTTTTTATATACCGTGTATAGAGAAAAAGAATTGCAGAACCCTAATATTGAGTGATCTAATAATCTCCCAAAAGTTTCATGGTACACGGATGAACGGTGTGAAACCGAAATAGACTTTTATTTTTATAAACCGTATATAGAAAAAAATCGCAGTCTCCCGTGGCGCCGCCCTTGCGAAATTTAAAAAGGATTTTATTTAAAAAAAAACCCTTCCCATGAATTGTTCTTATCAACTCCCCCAAAGTCTCATGGCTATCGGATAACGGTGTCACACCAAAATCGACTTTTATTTTTATAAACCGTATATAGAGAAAAATCGCACCCTCCCGTGGCGCCGCCCTTGAGAAATTAAAAATTAATTTTTACATAACCCTTTCCTAGAGTTTTATAATGAACTCCTCAAAGTTTCATGGCTATTGGATGAACGGTGTCACTACAATTCACTTTTATTATTTTTATATTCCGTATATAGAGAAAAATCGCACCCTCCCGTGGCGCCGCCCTTGAGAAATTAAAAATGATTTTTGTACAGAGCCCTTTCCGAGAGAGTTCTAATCAACTCCCTAAAGTCTCATGGCTATCGGATGAACGCTGTCAAACCAAATTCGACTTTTATTTTCATATACCGCATATTGAGAAAAAACAAATCGCGCCCTGCCGGGGCGCCACTCCGGCGAATTTGAATTTTTTTTTTCCGCAGAAACCTCCCCAGGAATATTCTCAACAACTTCCCAAAGTTTCACTGCGATGTGATAAGAGGTGTGGTAAAGCATAAAATACACACACACAGACACACAGACAAACACAGACAAACAGACACACAGACACACATACATTGCTTTATCTCTCTCTCTCTCTCTCTCTCTTTATATATATATATATATATATATATATATATATATATATATATATATATATATATATATATATATATATATATATATATACTCCCACGACGCTACTATTAGTGAATTGAATGATTACATCTATTGTGTGAACGCCATTGCATGGGGCTGTGATGATGATTCCATTGTGCATTATCATGAGGAGACAATTACACGGGGAAAGTATGTCTGCACCAGTTCTGTGAAAAAAGGTTTGGCTATTCTCAATTAAATCATGTATTTCCCTGTGTTGGGAGCCTCGGCCCAAGTTTGCCTGTTCGAATAGACCCCATTTTACTGATGCCAGCGGTGGTAGACAGCTATTAATTGTAAAACCTTTTCAAACATACTCAGACCGCGAACTTACCAAAAAAGACCAATTTTTGTAATTCTCGGTAGATTTTCCCCCAAAATGTAAACCCAAAGATACTTCATCCTACTTATCTGGATATGACGCATTCATTTACTAAGTGAAGATCTTCCTCTTTCTTCTATTTTAACTTGTTGATGTTTGCCTGTTTTCATTCATTTGTTTCCATAGCATTTGTCCACCCAAAGGTAAACAACAAGAGTGTAGTTGTTTGATTTTGGTGTTTGCTGTACTAGATACGTTGTTGTCCCAAACTATCAAGCCTCATCTGCCTGGGGGTTCTATCTCGGGAATTTTAAGTATAAAAACCATGCGATATACACATACTACACCATACACAAACATAAGAACCCACTCCTTGAGGCATATAGAACACGGAAAAACATACCAAATAACTCGATTCGCGGCTACCTTTTAAAACTCAAGGCATAAGAATAAAACCTATGCCAACTCTTTTTCCAACAATGCCTATGACAAATATGGACACTCTTTTGTGCTCCTCACAACATCACATTACACCACTTGACACCATATCACCACAAATGACAAAACATCACAACATATGACACCACATCACTTCACATCTCAGTACTACATATAATATCACATCAATCATAACACACACGCATAACATCACACCACATCACAGCACAGCACACCACATCACATAACACCACATAACACGACATCACAAGACATCACATCACAAAACATCACATCACATAACACGAGATCATATGACATGATATGACATGACATGACATGACATGACATGACATGACATGACATGACATGACATGACATGACATGACATGACATGACATGACATGACATGACATGACATGATATGACATGACATGACACCACACCACACCACATCACACCACATTACATTACATCACATCACATAACACCACTTGAACACCACTCCAGGACAAAAACAAGAACAAGCTAAAACTAATGAACCCAACCACATAACTCCCATACGCCTCCTTATGTATTAAATTCCTGGTCAAATTTCATCCTTAAATGCACAGTTTAAATTGACATGTTTTAATATTTATACTTATAATTTATCTTACTTTTCAAACATTTTATTCTTTAAACTTTTTTTACTAATGTTTAAAAACCTTTTAATGTGAACAGCTGTTGACGATTTGACTGCTTCACGATGCCTAACTGATAAGAAGAAGAAGGAAGAAGTTGAACATGCAATAGATTATTGTTCGTGGATTAGCTATATCTATCCTTACAATCTCATTGAGGACGTGTGCCAGTAATAAAACTTAATATTATAGTTTAGATAAAACATTATGTGACTTGCTGTTTAACTGTTTAAACTAATGACGTATGCGTCAGACGTTGTATGGGCAAGTAAAACACATAATATGCAGATTGGAATTATAGTTTATAAAATAATTCATTAAGAAGATTCAGTTTTATCGATACGAGAAATATCTTAAAATATATTTAGAATTAAATATATATATATATATATATATATATATATATATATATATATATATATATATATATATATAACATATTTTAAAATATCTTAAAATATCTTTAGTATTTATATATATATATATATATATATATATATATATATATATATATATAAATATATATATAAATATATATATAAATATATATAAATAAATAAATATATATATATATATATATATATATATATATATATATATATATTTACAGAAATTTTACCTAATTTAGTGTTTATGATATTTATTTTTTAGCATCAATTATCCTTAGATCAATAATCCTGATATAATTGTATTGAAATCATTGGCATTGTGATAATTTGTAATGAGATCATTTATCCTGAGATTATTTGTCTTAGGATCATTTAACCTAAGATCATTTAAGTTTTGTCTTGGGATAATTTATCCTGAGATCATTTGTAAGGAGGATATTTTTCCTAAAAACATAACCCTGAATCTATTTCAAATCTACAAATAGCCTTGGATCACTTATGCAGAGCTGTTATGAAACAAAGTTGACTGCTTTTTGTGGTAGAGCTGGAGGGGACTTCTACAGCAGGCTAATCTGGGAAGAGTTGGAGGGACCATTTTTTGATTATGACTGTAAATTGGAGGAGGAAAACCATAAAGGTCTAGATAAAGATAATTTAACGTGTCAAAATTTAAAAATGTTTTATAGAAATTTAAAAAAGGGTTATTGAACAATATAACTAGTATTAACATTTGCAGTTACATCATTTTGATTTAAATTCTGTCTTAATCAATTGATGAGCATTATTATAATAAGTGAAAACACTTTTGGATGTGTATCTCGTATCACAACACGCAAATAGTTACACATTTTATTATTTTAGTAAGCTGGAAAAAATGTAATCTACTTACTGAATGCTTGGAGCATAAGATATTCAACTCTATAAATGAATTTTACTACTTCATCGACAATACAACACTCGCAGCCTTTTGTGAGTAAGTTGCAAATTTTTCCACCGGTTAGATTTAAATAGAATAATTTGGGGGATGTATTCTTAATTCATGACAGTATGTTTATGTACTCATTGATAGAGACATTGGAAATCTAGAATCACACGAGAAAACTCTTTAAAACTATAGTATACATAAACATAAAAATAAGCATAAGCATAAGCGTAAGCGTAAGCGTAAGCGTAAGCGTAAGCGTAAGCGTAAGCGTAAGCGTAAGCGTAAGCGTAAGCGTAAGCGTAAGCGTAAGCGTAAGCGTAAGCGTCAACGTAAGCGTCAACGTAAACGTCAACGTAAACGTAAACGTCAACGTCAACGTCAACGTCAACGTAAACGTAAACGTAAAAGTAAACGTAAACATAAACGTAAACATAAACGTAAACATAAACATAAACATAAACATAAACATAAACATAAACATAAACATAAACATAAACATAAACATAAACATAAACATAAACATAAACATAAACATAAACATAAACATAAACATAAACATAAACATAAACATAAACATAAACATAAACATAAACATAAACATAAACATAAACATAAACATAAACATAAACATAAACATAAACATAAACATAAACATAAACATAAACATAAACATAAACATAAACATAAACATAAACATAAACATAAACATAAACATAAACATAAACATAAACATAAACATAAACATAAACATAAACATAAACATAAACATAAACATAAACATAAACATAAACATAAACATAAACATAAACATAAACATAAACATAAACATAAACATAAACATAAACATAAACATAAACATAAACATAAACATAAACATAAACATAAACATAAACATAAACATAAACATAAACATAAACATAAACATAAACATAAACATAAACATAAACATAAACATAAACATAAACATAAACATAAACATAAACATAAACATAAACATAAACATAAACATAAACATAAACATAAACATAAACATAAACATAAACATAAACATAAACATAAACATAAACATAAACATAAACATAAACATAAACATAAACATAAACATAAACATAAACATAAACATAAACATAAACATAAACATAAACATAAACATAAACATAAACATAAACATAAACATAAACATAAACATAAACATAAACATAAACATAAACATAAACATAAACATAAACATAAACATAAACATAAACATAAACATAAACATAAACATAAACATAAACATAAACATAAACATAAACATAAACATAAACATAAACATAAACATAAACATAAACATAAACATAAACATAAACATAAACATAAACATAAACATAAACATAAACATAAACATAAACATAAACATAAACATAAACATAAACATAAACATAAACATAAACATAAACATAAACATAAACATAAACATAAACATAAACATAAACATAAACATAAACATAAACATAAACATAAACATAAACATAAACATAAACATAAACATAAACATAAACATAAACATAAACATAAACATAAACATAAACATAAACATAAACATAAACATAAACATAAACATAAACATAAACATAAACATAAACATAAACATAAACATAAACATAAACATAAACATAAACATAAACATAAACATAAACATAAACATAAACATAAACATAAACATAAACATAAACATAAACATAAACATAAACATAAACATAAACATAAACATAAACATAAACATAAACATAAACATAAACATAAACATAAACATAAACATAAACATAAACATAAACATAAACATAAACATAAACATAAACATAAACATAAACATAAACATAAACATAAACATAAACATAAACATAAACATAAACATAAACATAAACATAAACATAAACATAAACATAAACATAAACATAAACATAAACATAAACATAAACATAAACATAAACATAAACATAAACATAAACATAAACATAAACATAAACATAAACATAAACATAAACATAAACATAAACATAAACATAAACAAATGTTTCCAGTGTCCGCCCCCTCTCAGAAAATTCTACCCCCACCCCCCAAAAAATTCAAGTACCCTCACCCCTCGCCGGGGAAGAAAATGTCTGAAAGAAACACTAGTCGTATGTGAAGATTATATAAACTAAAGGAAGAACCTGGACGGGCTTCGCCCCTATCTGAAGTGATGCATGAAAAAAACTGTGCACGCTAAACACTTTTTAGATTGGAAAAAGTTTCTCCCTCCGGGGAGGAAAAAGTCTGAAAGAAACACTGGTGTCGCGCTTAGCCACTACCCGAAGAATTGCATGAATGAAACTGCAAGCAAACCACTTTTTAGATTAGACACATTAATTAGGCTGTAATTTTATTATAGAGTATCGATGACGTCATTTCTTTTGAGTTCTCAGACGTTCTTACGCGGGGGTGGGGCTTCGCCCCTACCCGAAGAATTGTATGAAAGAAACTCCTCACGTAAACCACTTAGATTAGTAAAAATTGCTTTTTTATTCAATGTTTACTCGATAATCAATGACGTCATATTACTGTGTGCATTCTCCTGCTTGATATTATTTTCTACTATATGTTAAATGTGACGTCATATTTCGTTTTCGTTTTACTATGCATGTTTTTATTTTGCTTGTGTTTTCTCTATAGCTTTCTTGTCAGATAGATACACAGACAGATAGATAGATAGACAGACAGCGAAACTATTAGTATTAACTATTAATATATATACGAGAAAAATGGCCCGTTGAGGAAGGATACAACGGGCGCTAGGTTGATAGTGCTGTCTATTTTCTTTAAACTAAAACCAAAACCAAAATCACCACCTTAATTCAATTTAACCGGAAACGAAAAATGACATTGAAAACGGATTTTTATCCAGAATCGGTACTTTAATTTATACAAAATATAGTCATAGGCATATCCCTAAACCATGCACCTAATCTCATTCATGACAAAAGTCGCATTTAGAGTTTCTTTCAGGCAACTCTACTTGGGAGAAGGGGGCTCCACCCCCCCCCCCAACCCAAAATATGTCTACCGTCCTATTCAACGAAATATAATTATATACTTTTTCCAGTGACAGCCCCCTCTCAGAAAATTCAACCCCCGCCCCCCAAAAAATTTAAATACCCCCACCCCTCTCCTGGGATGAAAACATCTGAAAGAAACACTGGTCGCATTTGTATATCATACAAACTAAAGGAAGAACCTGGACGGGGCTTCGCCCCTACCGGAAGAGATGCATGAATAATAATCATTAAAAAAGTTTAAAAAAACCCACGTTTTCTGATTGAACTAAAAAGTAGAAAATAAATACTATACATCACAATAATGCAAGCGATCACTCTACTATAAGCGATGAAAAACGTGGGGCGCCGAAGTAAAAGTTATATTACTATTGATTAGATAATACTATTGACTTTTATTAGGGAGCTTGTAGAGAGTCAACAGTATTAGAAACTGTAAGAAAATCACGGCGCCCCACGTTTTTAGTTCAATCAGAAAACGTGGGTTTTTTAAAACTTTTTAATGATTATTATTTTCTACGTTTTAGTCTTTGTCTGTTTGTTTGCATTGAAATCTTGCTATCGATTTTATCTTTTCACTTTTTTTTGGGTAAACGAAGACAACTCGTAAAAAGACAACTCGTAAAAAACGAGAGACCCTTTCTTCTTCGGTCTCAATCGCAAGTGAATGATTGTCAGAGGTTAGTTGATAGCGGTTAGGACGAGGGCTGGTTACTGACTAGAACACATAGATTTGAACCCGTGTGCCCCAATCGTGTGCCCAACCACTCGACCATATCGTCTCCCCCAAACTGGCCACCAGTGGTAATAGTTACCTCCTGTAAGTTTAAAGTCGGTTCAAACTAAATTATCTGCCCCTAAGCCTGTCGCGACGTGGGATCGTTCGCTTCACTGCGCGCGGCAAGAGAGAGGCGAGCTACGCGTCGCTCGTTTTTTTTTTCTAATGGCTCGCAGAGGAGAATTATATATATATATAGATTATATAGCGGTCTAAAATGCTCAATAAAATGTTTCCATTGATCAATTTAGTAATAATAACAATTGAATATTCTATGGTCATCCAAAAGAAAGCTTCCCTGAAAATTTCAGCGCGCTAGCTAACTGGGAAGTGCCAGAAATTTTGATCGCAAGATTTGATTGGAAAAACAAACAAACAAACAGAGAAAGCAAGTTAAAGAAAACGTGGGAAAAAAACTTCGCCCCTACCCAAAGATTTGTATGAAAGAAACTCTTCACGTAAACCACTTAGATTAGACAAAATAGGCTTTTTAATTCGATGTTTAGTCGATAATCAATGACGTCATATTATTGTGTGCACTCTCCGGCTTGATACTATTTTCTACTATATGCTAAATGTGACGTCATATTTCTTTTCCGTATTACTCATGCATGTTTTTAATTTGCTTGTGTTTTCTCTATAGCGTTCCTGTCAGATAGATAGATAGATAGATACATAGATACATAGATAGACAGACAGCGAAACTATTATATAGAATATATATATATATATATATATATGTATATATATATATATATATATATATATATATATATATATATATATATATATATATATATATATATATATATATATATATATATATATAATTTTTAAACTATCCCACATGACCAAAGTGAATTGAATACACATACCGATTGTCTGACAAAACACAAAGACTGTGGCATTAGCGAGATTGTGAATTCCTATGAGAATGATGTTACAATTGGAAATTATTTCTGCACTGATGAAGTGAAAAAAGGTATGGTTATCGATAATCAATGCAGCGATTTTTTTTTTTGTGGGTTAGTAGACCCAGATCATTGTGGCACTGTTCAAATTGACCCAACACTGTGATACGTACATATTTAGAAAAAATCTTTTGAATACCCATCTTAAAGCTTTTTTCTGTGACCAGATTTTACTTACGAAATTATGTTCATAATCGTTTTTCACCTCTTAGTAAAGGGTTGTACAAAATAGACTTTTTTAAAGGTCTGTACTACATTTTATCCTTATTGCTTAATATTATCAATGTGTTTTACATAAACAGCTGTTGAAGCTCTGACAGCCTCACAATGCCTCATCGATAAGGAAAAGAAACAAAAGGTAGAAAAAGCGAGGAGGACGTGTTATAATACCGGCCGACGTTATGAAACAAATGACAATGAAGCAAGGTGCAGGTAAAAAATCGAACAATTTTACCTTACTACTATTGATAGTTTGGTTCAAATATACTGTTTGTTACCTGCCGTGAAAACAATAATGTATGCAACATTTAATTTAAATTTATAGTGAAATTTAAAAAAAAAAATTATAATATTTTGATTTTAATAAGACTTTATGAATAACAGCAATAAAATATATTTAGAGTTACTGCATTATTTTAATGAAAAGGTTAAAGGTTACTTTAGTGAAGATCACTTCCGGTTTATTATGCTATTAATTGTTACGTTTCTGAGATATGCTTGTATTGAGATCATTTTTCTTGCCACTATAGCTTTAAATCTATTCACAGATATGTATCTGCTTATTCTCTTCCTTGATTATCTATCTGAACATAACAATTCCGGAATAAAATGTAAATTTATATTGATTTGTGTGAACTAGTTTTCTGAACAGAAAGAAGGACTGTTATGAGCTGGAACTGACGGCCGTTTGTGGTAAAATTGGAGGGGAATTCTACAGCACATTAATCTTTGAGCATGAGGAAGGAGACTATTACCACAAGAATTGTATTAGGATCGAGCTTGCAACAGAACATTGGTACGTTTTGACATCTACTCAGGTGAAAGGAGAATCCTATGTGTGCGGTATGTGCTAGCTAGTCAGGTATGTCGTAATTTATGAGACGGCCTGGCCTAGAGATAAAGCGCTAAGCTACTAAACCGAAAGTTTCGCTTTCGAATCCGAGTTCAAGTCAGAAGTACGTCCCTGAGTCTACCAATCTCTGATGGGTACCTACCTCACGTTAGCGAAAACACACTATATTTTCATCTGAAACAGACTGACTTTACTTCGTCTGTTCAGTGTGCCTTGGGCAGTGTTTTTTTCATACTTTTTCTCGGGGGGGGGGCACTTAACATTTCAGCGGAGGGAGTGCGGACACTGGTATATCTATATAAATTCCATTTCATTCGGGGTGGGGGGGGGGGTGGGACGGTAGACGAACATTCGGGTGGGAGGGGGGGGGGCTCCGTCTGGAAGAAACTCTGGCCTGGGGCACGAACGGGAAAAGACGATGATGTCATAAACTGAGACAGGTGTAGGAATCTACACCCCGGTGTGTAAGATTAGCGAGAACCGTAGTTTATATCAGTTATGTTATAAAGAAGTGCCCAGTGAACCTATTTTCTGTATGTAATTGACGCCGATAGCGTAATTGTACGACGAATTAAGATAGTTTTAAAAAAATATTGGGGAATAAGTGTAGATATTGAGATAAAAAGAGACGAAAAGAAAGTTTAAAAAAAAAAAAAATCCAGCTAGATAACTAAATTGGTCTACAAACTTTATTAAGGTATTACTTTTACACAACTTTGGATAACTAATGGTGTATTTTTTATTTTTTTCCACAGAAAATTGATAAAGGCCGGATAAAGTATTGATTTAGACCAGGGGTCTCCAAACTACGGCCCGCGTGCCGGATGCGGCCCGCGAGGTCCTCTCATCCGGCCCGCGGAGATCTTTCTGTCCAAGGAAAAATCGTTTGTTGCTGATGGCCGAGGAACTATGCCCAGAAAAATCAAAGACGTGTCTGGAACTGAAAATTTATAGTTAAAGCGGCCCTCAGACTGAAAAGTTTGGAGACCCCTGATTTAGACGATACTTATATATAATGTATCTGCCAATAAAAGTATAGATAATAATATCAGTTTAGATATTTTATTTAAGTGTATGTTTCTAGGTGTCTTGTAACTTTCCTGGGTGGGGATAGGCTTATATTTTCGGGGCGTTGGGGGGGGGGAGGGACGCTTAAACTTTCGGAAGGAGCGGCGAAGGGACAACTATAAAAGTTTTATATTCCTGCATTTTCTATATAAATTGTATTCCTTTTTCCGGGTGGGGGGGGGGGGGGGGAATTGGGGGGGGGGGAGGGCGGTGGGTGGACGTGATTCAGGTGTGCCGGTATGGGGGAAGGGGGAGATTCCTTCCGATTTGATGCGAGAAAGAAATTCTGGTATTAATAAAGCCTCAGTAAAAATCAATTTTAAAAAAAATTTGAACTAAACAGATGTAAAACAAATGTGTTTTTTTTTAAAGAGTTACATGTCTGTACTGTTAGTTATTCTGCTGTATCGTGTAGTTTATATCATGTACCGTGTGTGACTAAAATGTAACATTGTAACACGGACTTTAAAAATTGGCTTAAAAAGTGTGACGTAAGTTCAGGACTATCCCTTAGCTAAATATAACCCTATGACAACATTTCTTATTCATGAATGCATGTTGTTTAAGTTGTTAATAGAAAAAAATTGAGCCAATATAATAGCAGTATCTATATAGATTATTTTTAAAAACCAAATTTCTTGTAACCAACACTCTTATTAAAAAGATAACGTAATGCCAATTTCAGTTTCTGTGTTCATTTTATTTTTAATGGAATAAATATTGTTGGGTCCAATCTTTATTTCTTCGTTATTTTTTGTTATGCTGCAAGCTAGCTGTTGTTTCTTTTGGGGATGTCTTTCCTAGATAAATTGCTGTCCCCAGCTATCGAGCCTCATCTGCCCAAGGGTTCCAACTCGAGAATTTTCGGTTAAGCAACCGTGAGCTTTACCAACTCAACCAACTCAATTCAAAAATAAAATCCTGTACATTCAGTGACTGATAAATACTGCGCATCAGACTTTTCAAAGATGGAAGTGTGTACTTTTTCACCAAATTAAATCGTTAATGTTTTAAACCTTGTTGGTGCGTAGATAAATCGCTTAACACATAGAATCCAATTGTATTAACGGATAATGATCGATTAAGTAACAGTAGAATAAATACCCTTAAGAAATTGTGACCATTCACTAAGGGGAAAGTTCAGTGCCCCCCCCCCCCCCCCCCCCGGAGAAAAAAGTCTGAAAGAAACACTGCCCAAGCTGCCCAAGGCACACTGAACAGAAGAAGGGATAGCGTGATTTCCCTAACGTGAGGTTAGTTAAGTGATTAATTAGAGTGTTAAACAGTCTTTTAAGAGCAAATTTGACAAATCCCGACGAGGGTGGAGGACAGGGGGGGGGGGGGGGGGGTGACACCATAACGTACACCTGCTAATGATAAAGAAAACATGCTTCATCAAGCAGAATTTATAACCGACTATAGATAAAAATCGTTAATACTATATCTGAGCACAGTTTAAAGCAATCGCCGTGGGGGAGGGGTGAGTCCGGGGAAGTTACATTAACTTAACGTTGCAAAAGTTACCTGAGGTAAACGGTTTGGTTGAGAATCGTAATTATTTATGTGTTAATTCATGTAGGGGTGGGGGGAAGTAAAAAATATATGTGAATACATAAAGGCCTACACATGTGTACCTCGCCACGTCACTGTCAAAGTCAAAGTAAGGTATTACAAACGTGACAGAAGACCAGACTAGTTACTTTAGTTTAGAGCTGAATTAAATCGCTGTTCTGAAGTGTGAGGCTATACCTGGTCTAGGGATTCATTATTTAAAAACATTGATTGTTATTGGTTGACTAATGCGAAAGATGTACTCACCACTTTAAAGTACAGTTACATAATGTTAAAACGTATATTCTTGTGTTGCTTTAATTAATTAAAAAAATATTAAAATATAAAAAGAGACGAATCTGATTTTAAGTTACCTATATTTTTACTTTCTCGTATACATAGTATAGAGGAAGTATTGTAGACCTAATCGTGCACAAAAATTACATGGAATTTTCAGTTTTCATCGTTTTACTTCTCAGTACTTCATCATATACGGAATGTAGGAGATTTATTTTAATCGAGTAAAAATTTTAAATGCAGTTTTATAAAGAGTTCGGCGTTTTACGCGTAATCGAGTCGGAAAAACTGGACTTAGCAATTCTGTCTGTGTGTGTATGTGAGTTTGTAAACATGATAACTTGAGTACCGTTACAGCTAGGTTGATGATAATTTATATACATGTATTAAATCAAAGTTGTAGTTATGTGTCAACTTTTCAACGATTTCCGGTAAACGGAAGTGGAGTTTATTCTCTTTTGAGTTTTTCAATAACTTGAGTTGTGAGTTTTCAAGGACGTGTAACATCTTCATTACTGTAGAACTCTCCAATGTTTAGACTTTATTAAATGTCCACAACGTATTAGCTGCTGGCTACTGTATAGCATAGACGGCTAAAATTAAAACAAGATCACAGAAAACTTCAAATAAAAAAATTCATAAAAAAAAGCGTTTTAATAACAAGCTTTTATGTAATAATGCACTGAAAAGTAGAAAATAAATTATACACTACTATTTAAATAACTATAAAGAAAAGCATGGGTCTCTTCCTAAACATTAGTAAAGGTATCCAATAGATACTAAAGTAACCCACGCTTTTCTTTATAGTCATTTAAATAGTAGTGTATAATGTATTTTCTACTTTAATCAAATTTAATGTCATAATGCATTGTCTTCATGTCTTGACCCACGTACCAATTACGAACCGTATCTGTCAGTTAGAAGTGTCCGAATTTTCGCTCCGGCGTTTCGATCTAGACTGACGACAGACAGACAGACAGACAGACAGACAGACAGACAGACAGACAGACAGACAGACAGACAGACAGACAGACAGACAGACAGACAGACAGACAGACAGACAGACAGACAGACAGACAGACAGACAGACAGACAGACAGACAGACAGACAGACAGACAGACAGACAGACAGACAGACAGACAGACAGACAGACAGACAGACAGACAGACAGACAGACAGACAGACAGACAGACAGACAGACAGACAGACAGACAGACAGACAGACAGACAGACAGACAGACAGACAGACAGACAGACAGACAGACAGACAGACAGACAGACAGACAGACAGACAGACAGACAGACAGACAGACAGACAGACAGACAGACAGACAGACAGACAGACAGACAGACAGACAGACAGACAGACAGACAGACAGACAGACAGACAGACAGACAGACAGACAGACAGACAGACAGACAGACAGACAGACAGACAGACAGACAGACAGACAGACAGACAGACAGACAGACAGACAGACAGACAGACAGACAGACAGACAGACAGACAGACAGACAGACAGACAGACAGACAGACAGACAGACAGACAGACAGACAGACAGACAGACAGACAGACAGACAGACAGACAGACAGACAGACAGACAGACAGACAGACAGACAGACAGACAGACAGACAGACAGACAGACAGACAGACAGACAGACAGACAGACAGACAGACAGACAGACAGACAGACAGACAGACAGACAGACAGACAGACAGACAGACAGACAGACAGACAGACAGACAGACAGACAGACAGACAGACAGACAGACAGACAGACAGACAGACAGACAGACAGACAGACAGACAGACAGACAGACAGACAGACAGACAGACAGACAGACAGACAGACAGACAGACAGACAGACAGACAGACAGACAGACAGACAGACAGACAGACAGACAGACAGACAGACAGATAGACAGACAGACAGACAGACAGAGGAAGTGAGTTAAATAAAAGCTTGTAAAAGTAGTGTCAACTAATGATAAATAAACTTCAATTACCGTTTCGTATTGATTAATAAAACGGGAGTGATCTCCCCTAAACTTTCTAAAATATTCTTATCTGACTCTACGGGAGATGGCAAATCACGATATAGACATGATTTTTAATCCATTTTTAATTACTTAAACTTAAAAAAATAGAATAGAATCTCGTAGAAAAAAGAATTGCACACCATCGGCGTGGTTAGCTGAGGGAGGGTGGGGGGGGGGGAGGGGGTTGGTTTTTTTTTTAAGTAGAGCTGAAATAAATTGGGGATTACAGAAAATTTAAATGATACCGGAAAAGTTATGTTGATTACAATGAGCCACATCAAATCAAACATTCTTCCCTTTCAAACATCTATATCTATTGCAGTCCTTCCACAGTTTTTTTTTTTAAATTTATTTATTCTAAACATTTAAAATATTTGGTGGTTCTACACAGCTTCAAAGACATATGACTTGTTCCAATGATAATTTACTCGAGGGCTGATAGAATGATGTGGGGAAAAAAATAATCAAGGGAAATAATTTACAAATTAAATTTGATACAATTCAGAAAAAGGATAACCACATACTGAAAACATTTAATATAATATTTAGATCTTTGTAATAATATTTAAAAATAGTTTATTAAGTTTCTATTTAAATTAGATAAAAATACTGACCCATTTTAGAATCTAAATAAAATTTTGTCTTTAATATAAAAAACAAAACCTTTTAGTTTTATTTCACAAATTTTATTTATTAAAGATAACCAATTTTGAAAGTCGTTTCTCCTTTGTCGGTTGTTTTTCGATAAAGTATCTCAGATTTATCTCGATGTATAAATTAAACGTACCGAGCTTTCTTACTTAATTTTATTTTTCAAGTGCCAAAAAAAAAATTAATCAAACGTAGTAAAGCGTGCGGAAGATAAGTACTCTATAAACCAGGGGTCGACAACTTGCGGCTAGCGGCTATTTTGATGTCGAGATGTGGCTCTCCAGCTCCTTGCACAAATATTAATAGTTATTTTATTTTCAAAACTTATTAAAAATTATATAAATAAAAACTACTTTAGTAGGATAAAAACACTCATCAGAGAATTTTGGGGGTAGGTAAGGAGAGAGTATACCGACAGCTGACAGCCGCTTGAGCACCAGGCCCAGCCCCAAAGTCATGCTGTGACCAGCACAGTGGCAACGGTTCCATTATTGCAACTGCCGACTCTTTCGAATATCATTAAATGGGAAATGCCAGTGGCGTAGGCAGGAGGGGGGGGGGGGGTTAGGGGGGGTCATACAACCCCCATAGACCCCTCGGTATCTATATAAAGTATGAGAGGGGTGCAAATCGAAAGTTTGAGGGGGGGGGGGGTGCAAATCGAAAGTTTGAGGGGGGGGGGGGGGTGCAGATCTAAATTTTGTCCCTGGGTAAAAATTTGACCCCCCCCCCCCATGAGACGATCCTGGCTACGCTACTGGGAAATGTTATTTTATACAGAATGCATTTTTCTATCTGTCAGTATGCATTAATTTGACTTAAGTGACGTGTTTTTTAAAGTTATTAGCTTCCTACGGTTGAGCAGGTGGGGTACGAATTTACTATGCGTTCAGTGGGGTGGAAGATAAGCCCAGTGAGAACCGAAGACAGAAGCGACCGATATCCAAGCCAGTTAATCGGTGCTTGTCGTGTTGAGGCCTGCCTGGCTATGGGAGATACCTCCTGAGGGTTCCATGACAAATGATCTCAGACAAAATATCTCACGGACAAATGATCTCAGGACAAATGATCTCAGGACAAATGATCTCACGGACAAAAGATACCAGGACAAAATAAATCAGGACAAATGATATCATGGACAAATGATCTCAGACAAAATATCTCAGACAAAATATCTCACAGCAAAATTCTGATAGTATGTACAATGATTTTAGTTGATTTGAATTTGTTTTTATTGACTGTCAATATGATTTTGATTACTTTTTTTACGCATCATAATTATGAATATAATGAATTTGTTAAACTTAACAAACCATCAAAAGATTTATTAAACTTAATCTTTGTAATAGCATTCGATTTGAAAAAGTAAAAATTAAAGCAAACTTTCTCCTTTAGCCTGAAAGGTATAATAAATGATAATGTATAAAAAAAAAAATAAAGTAACGGTAGCTATACAACATTAATGTTCAACACATGCGAAATATCTATCAAAAATGTGAATGGGTCTTCAGGTTCGTAACGTAAAATTATTGTTTTTATTCCATCATCAACACAAACATAACGCTTACGTTTTTTTGCGGACAGCGCATCTTTATGATCACACCTCTCCAATACTATGTGATCATGTATTGTGTCAACTCTTGCTCGACATGTTCTAACTTCACAGTTCCAAATATCTTTGCCTGCTGCTCCACGTATGGAGAGATGACAGTTACAATTTATAAACATAAATTCACCAGAAACTAATGTCCTATACCCTTTCTGCGAGGTAACCAAAGAGGCAATAACTGAATAATCACCACTGACACTGCTTTGTTTGCATGCACATTAAGACAAACTAAGCTCCACGATGACCGCTGTCGTTTATATAAGCATAGGTCATCTGATCACTAAGGTGTGACCGACGCATAACAATAGACTTTAGATGCTAGTTGTATTGTCCATGGAGGGCGGATGTCTTTCCCTTAAGGCATGTCCCTGCCATCGAAAGAGGCGGCCACCTTGATACGAAGGTGTGTCTGTATTGTTATTTCATTCATTTTGATCTAGTTTCGTCCACCTGACATGTTAGGATTTTCTCATGTTTGGCAGGTTCACCTACGCTGTCTATCGAAAAAATTTCTTTAATCTTCGCATACTATATTATTAATCATAATTTTAAAATGTTTAGTGCAGTATATTAAATTTATACGGCAAACATTTCTTACAGGTATCATATAGGCCTATAAACAATATTAATCATAGTAAACAAAACCATATGACAGTCAATAAAAATTAATGTTAAGATCAACTAAAATCACCCGATACACTATTAAAATTTAGGTGTGAAAATATTTTGTCCGAGATATTTTGTCTGAGATCAATTGTCCATGGTATCATTTGTCCTGGTATATTTTGTCCTGGTATGTTTTGTCCGTGAGATCATTTGTCCTTGAGATCATTTGTCCTGAGATAATTTGTCCTAAGATAATTTGCCTGTGAGATATTTTGTCTGAGATATTTTGTCTGAGATCATTTGTCCTGAGATCATTTGTCCTGTCACCTTCCTGAGCCGGTGGTGTCCGTAAAGAAAGAAAAAAAAGTTATTGGCTTCAAAACTTGATTGGGATAGTCGTATAGTTATATTATTTGATTATTAATTTTATCATAGCAGAACTAGCTAAAATATTTTAATATGTTTTGTGCGAAATATTAGTATGTGTTTTTAAGTATGATTATTATTTCATATTTAAAGCTATTACTTTCAAATAAAAAATCAACTGTATTTATCTAATCATCATCAAATGCCGAAATATTGAAATAAAAATGTAAGTGGCTCTTTAAAAACTGGGAACTTTTGTAAATTGTAACTTTTGGCTCTTCCGGCTCAAAGGTTGCCGACCCCTGCTATAAACTCATATGGTTTGAGAAATCGGAAATAGCGTAAAGTACTACTTTTGGTCAACGGAAATTACTCTTTTACTTTTAAGTGAAATTTAGTCTATCTATCAGAATCAGTACTCAAGTTACATGCTTTGAAAAATCGAAAGTAGAATAAATTGCATTTCAGGTTACGGAAATTGCTGAAAAATTGTTACAGAACTACAGATTTGATATAATACTTATATATGAAGTTTCGTAAACGGTACTCCAGTTATCGTGTTCACAGACACACACCCATACAGACATACGGGCAAAATTGCAAATATATGTTTTCCGACTCAGGGAGGTGTAAAACGTCGGGATTTGTGAAAATCTATATTTCGATTATTTTCAGGATCACTTCTTTTCTTCTTCTTCTTCTTCGTTCTTAATTATTAGTGTTGAAGGGGATCGAGATTTATCTGCGAGGGGGTTTGAACTGGAGACTTTGTTCGAATTATCAACCATGAGCTTTTTACCGACTCGACCACGCCTCCAACACAATTAAGCGTTACGTGTCAACTGGTTATGCGCCATTGAGGCCGTTGACTCCGATTTCAGCCTGCTTTTCTTTTTGGATTTGCTTTTGTCCAACCAAGAACAAACTACAAGGCAGCAGTTGTTTTTAATTTTGGAGTTGTCTCTCCTAGAAGAGTGGCTGTCCCCAGCTAACGAGCCTCATCTGCCCGAGGGTTCGATCTCGAGACTTTTCGGTTTAGCAACCATGAGCTTTACCGACTCGACTACGCCGACCCCTTCAGGATCACAATACTACATTTACAGGCCTACTTCGTATACGAGAAAGTAATTTAAAAAAAAATTATTTTCTCTTTTCCCTCCCTTCAATTGCATAGCAATCTCGAATGTTCTTAACATAAGATGTGTCATACATAGCTAGCATTACGTTTCATACAACATGTTTTATAAAAGTAATCAACGATTACTTGAGCGTGTTTGTATCTGCCTTGTGATATAATTTCAGTTTATCAAACAGAAGTTTAAATATTTGAAATCTGAACAATTAATCTAATTACTTATTACATATTATTTAATGTATACCAACTAATTTATTTGTAGTTTTCGTGTGTTTGGTTTTATTAGTCGTTGTGGTCAATGTATGCAAGAATGCTAGTGTGGTCAAATTTTAAATGAGTTTTACTTACTTTTTATCACAAATTAATCTTTAATTCTCACAAAATCAAAAGTGGAGTCAGTCAATTTTAACAGTTAGGGTAATAGACACTGTAGAACTAAAATGACAACGGTTTTTTTGCACAACCTTTAAGAATAATTCTGACTTATGAAAAATATGGTTAAAATAGATTGTAAAAAATTGACATTGTTATCCAGTGATTTTATTTTGCGGATAAAATTAGTTTTTGAGTCAATATTTTTCCTGCCAGTGTCACATTTCTGAAGAAAAAATTACAAATTATTACATCATCATTTATTTCTAGTTGTGTACATTTAAAATCAACTATCTTATTATTTTGCTTCAGACTCAATATTAAGCGTCAATGTGCCTTGTAAACGTGTTTACTTTTGTATAACAATTTTAACCCATCAGCGTGTTAGGACTAATATAAAATTAAGGAAATGGATATTTTTTTGACAAGTACTTTCATTGGAAATTACATTATATGTAAAATAATGAACTTATAGGCTTCATACATTTTTGTTCAAACCAAAAGTTATTGAATAATCGTTAATAAACTTCTTGTTTCATTAATTTCTGGAGAGAAAATTAAGATGACTTAAAAAACTGGACCTGAAATTTCACAGTGAAACTGTTTATGGCAGATTAGATTTATAGGTTGTGGTGAATTAAATTTGGGATTTAAAAAAAATTGTATTATCCGCAAATATGACATATGTGGTAAAACAAGACAGTTCAATATAATACATTTTTCCTTTACAAACGGATAAATACGTTTAACTAATGAAAATACGTCTATAATATTGTGCATAGTATAAATTATAATGCGTTGATAATAACATAAAACATGTCCAGGGGAAGTAAATCAACATTATCGACATAGCTTGCAGTTTTCATTGTTATGTCCCTTTGCTAATAAAAGGGAAGGCGGAGAGGTAAAAATAGTCCAAAATACCTTGACGTCATTTAAGGATGACCCCTTTAGTTTAAGGATTTCCGAAATATTTTAAACGGAAGTTTACTAATGTAACCTCAGAATTTGATGCTGCACGCAATGGGGCGACTGGGCGGTATTGTGGACAAACCAGCACCATTAACAACTCAGATCCAAGAAAATAGCGAATGCTTTATTTTAATTTAATCAGTTTTAGAAAACAAGGTCACGCGTTTAAAAATACACAATCGTTAATGCATAGATGTAATCTTTTTAAATAATTGCATCAGCTTGTGTAATATAATGTGTTGACAATATAATAATATAAAATATTACCAAGGGAGGTAACTCAACTTTATCAACACAAAATGTAGTTGTTTTCATTGTTATGTCCCTTTGAGCATAACAATTTAAGAATTTTTGAGTTTTACGATGTCAAGAAAAAAAATTGGATGACAGACCTATTTTTCTTTTAACCTGACGCCTCAAGTTTACACGATTCGCCCCACTCCCCCACCTCCCACCTCCCACCTCCAAAAGGAGATATCTACTAAAATAATATATAAACTCTTACTTGTACTATAGTTTTTTAAAAAATAATTTAACATATGTAGTGTATGTGTTACTTGCAATGATAATTTTTACATACTGATTTATTCTATTCCGCAATGTCTGATTTTCAATATTTTAAAGTAGCAACTGGAATTAGCAACACAAGTAAAGTTAATTAGAGGTTCGAAATACTATAAATATATATACTATAAATATATAATGTTCCCCTATTTTATCTAATTTTTGACGTTTTTTCTTTTTCGTTTGTAGGAAACTGATAAAGGGTATTAAATTATCTATTTTCGCTGGTCAAGAAAAAAAAATTAAGTGCTGTTGTAGAGAAAAGCGGCATTACAATAAGTTCCCATTACAACAAAACAAGCAGAACAAAATAAATATAATTTATATATCATATTTATATATAAATAATAATGCTCATCTGCATTATATAATGTGCAAGACCAGTGGCGTAGCCAGGATCGTCTCAAGGGGGGGGGGGGGGCGGGGTTCCAATTTTTACCCGGGGACAAACTTTCGATTTGCACCCCCCCCCCCCTCCCCCCTCAAACTTTCGATTTGCACCCCCCCCCCCCCCCCCCCCTCAAACTTTCGATTTGCACCCCACCCCCTCAAACCAAACTTTCGATTTGCACCCCCCCCTAACCCCCCCCCCCTGCCTACGCCACTGTGCAAGACAATCACAGATATTCTAGTTAAGAGATTATTTTATAACCCATTTTTTTACCGGATGCTCGATTGAAAATAAGAATTCTGATATTGCCAACAGCGTTGAAAAGGGGAGATAAGTTTAGTATTATTTTTAATTTAAGTCAATTACTTCCCTTTACTCAGACTGACGCATGCCTTTAAAAAGTCGTGACGATTTAGTTGGAGTAGGCGATAGCGAAAAGTAAAGTAGGATCAATTTGAATCTTTGCTGGATAGTATTAGAAACTAGCCAGATTCGCCCCTATTCATTAGACGGTTTAAAGGGAAGTCAGCTGTTTTGATCTGCCTGGCTTACTTCCCTTTTTTAACCTCTTAATATTATTCTCAATGCTAATACTTATGGGTTTTATTGAAATAAATCTAGGATATTATTGTATTCAGTTTTATTATTACGATGAGCGAAAGCGTGGTTGGGTGGTAGAATATTCGACTGTTTAAACAAAAGTCTTAGGTTTGAGTCGACCCAGCTCTTTAGGCGGTTGGGCATAGTATCTGTACATCTATCTATATTCTATATCATAATGAGAACAATTGCTTTCATGTTCGGTTATCTGTAGTGCTTATCACACTTCCGCTTATAGGCCAAGATCAACGAAACTGATGAACTCTACTTCATCTCTCCCAAATAGCTTACCCATGCACAGGATACGATAATTTTAATTATTATTATGTTATCATCATGACATTCGTAATTAACGAGATACATTGTGTATTAGTTAATGACAGAACTTACTAATTATCTGTTTTGGGCTGGTTCGCGCTACACCACAAGGCGTAAAAGAGTCCATCTATCTCTTCCCATACCAACCTTCCATAGATCTTACCCTCCTCTTCTCCACACCTATGAGTCATCACTTTTTTCAGACACCTTTTTGTTTTTAACGTGGAGCTAGTGCAAAGAAATCCAAACATTAGTTCATTCTAGATTAGTTTCTTTACAGCGTTATTTTATCAATACATTTTAAACTAAATGGGTGAGAGAGATTTAAAATTTGTTTAAAGACATTAAAAAATAAGTATAGTTAATCAGGCAATTAACAATAGCTGTTGTAGAAAATATAAATTTTACTAAATATAATTCTTTCTACTTTTATATAGTGTATAAAATATAATACTACGAGCTAGTTACTTAAGATAATTGTTTTTATAGAAGCTAGATCTGCCTCTAGAATTGCATTGTTACAATAATTATTTTAAAACCTATTCGAAAATTCGTGAAATTGTAAATAAATTTTACTGCTGTAATTCAGAAAGTTATATTCCTTTTCTCAAAACGTGTATGAATGTTTCACATGTGTAAATATGTCAAATTCAATATGACTTTCGTCAACGTTTGTACTTGTACATCTATATCAAAATAAAAACAATTGACAACATATTCTGGTATCTATAAAGAACAATAGATTTAATGGTCTGGTACCTGCACGTCTTGTGTTCACCAATTTCGTCGTCTGTACATTTGGATAATGCTTTCTCCACAAATTTATTTCTTTTTTTCTTTACACACCCCGACTCAGTCAGCTTGTCCACAGCTGGTGGTGTGGGCAAAAAAAATGTTATGAAATATGCTCGTGTCAAATGACTTTAAAAAGTAGGCAATATAAAAATATGCGTATGTCAATTGTCATTTGAAAAATACGATAATATTAGATATGTTCGTGTCAAAAGGCCTAGCGGTAGAGAGCTGGACTGCTATCCCGAAATGTTCAAGTTCGAATCCGGGTTCAATCAGTAGACCGTACCTGAGTCCACTCAGCTGTTATGGGTACATAACTCAAGACAGGGAAAACAAATGCGGCTGGGCATAGTGATGACCACACTATCCCTACATGTGACGAGGTCTCAGAAACAGATGAACTCTACTTTCTCTGCCCATTGTGTCTTGGACTCGAACATGAAAACATGACAAGATAATAGTCATGTCGAATGTCATTAGAAAAGTAGATGGATAACAATTTTATCATGTCGAATGTCATTAGAAAAGTAGATGGATAACAATTTTGCCATGTCGAATGTCATTAGAAAAGTAGATTGATAACAATTTGTTTATGTTGAATGCCATTAGAAAAGTAGGAGGAAAACAATTTGGTCAAATCAGTGGCGTAGCAAGGTCGGGTGTCAGCCGGTGTCACCCCCCCCCCCCCCCAGAGGCGTAGCGACAAACTTCTAATTTTCGATTTGCACCCCCCCTCCCCACAAACAAGCTTTCGATTAAACGACTATTTAACACTTGAATTAATCACTCAATTAAGTGGAATTATCATTTTTCTCTATATATTTTGCTATTTTTTGCTTTGGTGTCACCCCCCTAAATGGTGTCACCCGGTGCAGTCACCCCCCCCCCCCCCCTCGCTACGCCTCTGGGTCAAATGTAGTTAGGATAAGATAGGGAGATAGGGTTTGAGGGAGTATGTGTGGTTTGGGGGGGGGGTGACGTTTGGTGAGCTAGAGCTTGGTGTCGGGAGAGGGGGAGGGGGAGCAAAGAAAGGCACCGATTTGAGGCAGGGTTGACGTTTTATTTTTGTGTATGTGAGTGCGTTTCCGTGAGAGTGTGTGTGTTTGCGGTGTGTACCTGCGGGTGTGTACATGTGTGTATATAACTGTGTGAGTGTGTAAATGTGTACTTATTATCTGTGTGTGTGTTTGTGTCTATGTATGTGTGTAAGTATGCTATTTTCTTCTTCTTCTTCTTCGTTCTTTGTTTTTAAAGTTAGTGTTGGAAGAGATCCCCTCCGACACAATTAAGTATGGGTATCAGCTGGTTATGTGCCATTGAGGCCATTGACTCAGATTTCAGCCTGCTTTTCTTTGGATTTGCTTCCATAGCCTTTAACCAACCAATAACAAACTACAAGGCAGCAGTTGTTTGATTTTGGAGTTGTCTCTCCTAGAAGAGTGGTTGTCCCCAGCTAACGAGCCTCATCTGCCCGAGATGTTAATCACAAACCGCGGTTCATTCACCACGGCTACTGTGTAGCTGTGGATGTGTATGTGTGCGTGTATACCTGTGCGTGTGAATCTGTACCAATACTTGTGTGCGTCTACGTGTATATGCGTTATTAAAAATGGGGGTTTAATCGTCTAGCCTTGACAGAAAAATTTCTATAAGGTTATGTACCTTTGTGTTGTTTATATATAAAATGGAGTAAAACAATACCTTTTTTACCGGCATCGCTGCAAGCGAAGTTCCCCACAGAAATAATGTGCTCCATACCTATCACAGTGTAGGTGTGGTCACAGTTTTTCTTACCTTTGTCCACACAGTTCTTGTAGTCCTGCAGTTCACTGAAACAATTACGTGATGCTTGAGATTAATTCTCAGTAATGTCTGTTGAAGCTTTAGGTATACAATCACGTGATGCGTGTGATCCAATCAGTGGGATTAATTCTCAGTAATGTCTATTAAAGCTTTAGGTAAAACGTAAGTTTAAGTTGAAATTATGATTCATTGTATACAGATTGTTGTTAGTTTATTTTGTTATTTGTAAAAAAAAAAAAGTGTAATGCTTCAGTCAAATTGATTCATTGAACGACTAGTTCCTTCAAAACCATATAATACCCAATTATACAATTAAAATGTATGTAGCGTATTATGTTAATTGTATTTCAATTGGGAAGGCGTGACCGTATGGTAGACAGCTCGACTGCTAACGCGAATGTCACGACTTCGTATCCGGGTTCAAACCAGTAGAGGGCCCAGCTGTTATGGGTATCTAACTTACGTTAGACAAAGGCGGCTGAGTAAAGTGCTGACCACATTATTCCAGTGTATGCTGAGGTCATTGAAACAGATTAACTCTACTTCATCTGTCCCATATAGCTTGGGCAAAAACGGAAAAAAGTGATAATGCTAAATTTTATATTTTTATATAAAAAAAACAACACAATCGCTAATTTTAATGCGTAGTTCTTGTGATGTGTTATTCTTGTCCAGGGCATATACGACCAATTTTTACTTTCTCGTATATGCGAAGTATAGAGAAAGTCTTGTAATCGTGTAAAAAAATCTCGACGTTTTACACCTCACTGATACGGAAAAACATAATTTTGCAATCTTGTCCGTATGTCTGTGTGTCTGTGTGTGTGTCTGTCTGTATGTAAACACGATAACTTGATTACCGGTTTAGCTAGGTTGATGAAATTTCATATATAAGTATTTTATCAAAATCATAGATCCTGATAAACTTTTGAGCGATTTCCGATAACCGGAAGTGGTACTTTTTCTACTTTGAATTTTTCAAAAGCCTATAACTTGAGTAATATTTCAGATAGATAAATGAAATTTCTCATCAAAGTAAAAGATCTAATTCTCTACATTCTGTTAAATTTTGAGTAATTTCCGTTGACTGGAAGTACTAATTTACGCTATTTTCTGATTTTTCAAAAAAACGCATGTAAATTTATAGAGTAGTAATAATATTGCGCACTATTATGCACATTTTGTTTTGGCGTTCGCTTGGTGCGCAATTCTATGAGATTCTATTCTTTTTTTAAAAGTTTAAGTAATTAAAAATCATGACTATATTCCAAGTTATATAAGAATATTCGAGAAAGTTTAGGGGAGATCACTCCCGATTTATTTTAATTGCTTAACGAAATCTCGCCAACAGTTGTGAGGGGAGAGAACAACAAATTTGAAAGGAACACAATTTCACGTTTCTTACTCTTTATAAATATTAAAAACAAAATGCTAATGTTAGTCATAGACACTTCATGGTATTCCAGTACAGATCCTAGCTGTTTACTGGTGTGATTCTATGCTTCTATGCATCTCTACACTTGACCCAAAGACAGTGACCTCAGAGCACATCCCTAAAGTAATCGACCATTAAGGTCCATGGGATGCAGGTGAAGTAGAGTTCACTTGTTTCCGTAACCTCGACAAATAAATGGATGGTGTGGTCAGCACAATGCCCGGTCAACTTTTACTTTCCCTTACGTGTGTAAGGTAATGATCAGAGCGGGGTGAACTCATGAACGCGAAAGGACTCGAGCCCTGAGTCCAAACTCGAGCAATCGAAGACTCTACCATCACCATCTCAATAAATTTTATGTCATCATGACATTCATAACTAATGGCTGAAACAACTGAAACCGGTACTCACCTACAAAAAGCTGCAAGTGTTGCATTGTCGTAGTAGTAGTCTGGATTAGATGGAAGCAGTTGAAGATCCGGAACCGAGCACTTTAAAAGTGGGTTACAGTTGCTTTCTGGTGAACAGTTTTATTGAGTGGGGCACATTTGTTAAGATAAACTACCACTAACCTGCCTTAAGATAAACTACCACTAACCTGCCTTAAGATAAGCTACCACTAACCTGTCTTAAGGTAAACTACCACCCACCTGTCTTAAGGTAAACTACCACTAACCTGTCTTAAGGTAAACTACCACTCACCTGTCTTAAGGTAAACTACCACTAAAGTGCCTTAAGATAAACTACCACTAACCTGTCTTAAGGTAAGCTACCACTCACCTGTCTTAAGGTAAACTACCACTAACCTGTCTTAAGGTAAACTACCACTAACCTGTCTTAAGGTAAACTAACACTAACCTGTCTTAAGGTAAACTACCACTCACCTGTCTTAAGGTAAACTACCACCCACCTGTCTTAAGGTAAACTACCACTAACCTGTCTTAAGGTAAACTACCACTCACCTGTCTTAAGGTAAACTACCACTAACCTGCCTTAAGGTAAACTACCACTAACCTGTCATAAGGTAAACTACCACTAACCTGCCTTTAGGTAAACTACTACTAACCTGTCTTAAGATAAACTACTACTCACCTGTCATAATGTAAATTACCACCCATATGTCATAAGGTAACTACCACTCACCTGCCGTGACAACAAACGCAGCAATGATCAGGAGAACTTTGATCAGGTTCACCATCTTTAACAGGTAGGAACGTAAGCTGATCACGTTTGTTCGCATATACGTGCTTGCTTTATTTCCCACTAGACTCATCACATTCGAGACATCCACGGTTTATATTGGTTCATCTGACTATGTCTAGCGTCGGATCTACGTTACAGATAGACAGAGTGGGGGGTTCAAACACAGACACATTTTGAAATTATGTAAAACCCGTGATTAATTTTTTTTTTAAATTTAAAATATGTGTATATTTTTTAATTTAAATTATGGTAATGAGTTATTGCTAAAATATATTTTGTCTACATTACCCCTGATCAAGGCGGGAAAACACAAATCAACTCTAGTGAAAATTTCATATTTTTTGTTTTTAAATAGCATGAACCTCTTGTCAAGAGAAAGAGAACTAAACTATTAAAGTTGTTGTTTTTTTAACGTTTGATTAAAAATTTTGTTTATATTTAATTGTAATGTGTATTAAAGCTATAAAACTTTTGAATATACGTTTTGCAGATACGGGACATGGTGGTCGAGAGGTAGATCTTTTATCTGCCAGCCCGAAAATCTAGAGTTCGTTTCTCGGTTAGAACTTGAGACTGTTGATCGTCTGTGAGTCCACCCAGTTCTTTTGTGTACCTGGCATAACTAATGGCGGCTGGGCATAATGCAGAAACACCATCCATTAATATGCTGTGCCAAGAATCATATGAACTCTACTTCATCTATCCAACGGATCGCTAGGTCTCAAGAGGAATCTATACTTTTTCACATTACGTTTAGCAGATGATATAATCTATAAACACAACTATTGCAATATATAACCCACAACAACCTCCAAGATTTTAGAACAATTTATATAAACCAGAAACGTTATTTAGAAAATTGTATCTACGCCACTACATTTTTTTAATCCCCCTAGATCAATGCTGGGACTATCATTCAAATATTAATATAGTCGCAGCCGTCTTGTTTTCTACACCCTTGTGGTAAGTAAAGCTTTAAATACATTTTAAAAAAAAATATAGTCGCATGACGGTCCCTTATGTAGATAATATTAAAATTCTTCATTTTAAAATATCACCCTATGATGTTAACCTTTCAAAGTCACTCCACTCCAATTTTGCACATATTGTGATAAACATCCAAACTATCATCGCTCTTCATCCTACCCCCTTGAACCACGCATGAATATGACATAACTTTTTACCCCTATGTAAAACAAAATAACTTCCTGATGTATAAATAGGCATTACCATGTGCTCAAACAAATTGTATGGAAACAAGTATCATTAGTACCTATATTATCAAACATACTCTTTTAGATACTATAATATCAATCTATATTTTAATCGTGAAACTTCAAATTATGTGGGTTCTTTAAACTCATTTAATATATTTTAAAAAACTTTTGATGTTTTATATATACGGAAATAATTTAACACAATTAAGTTTTAATAAATACACACGACTTCGAGACTTTCCCGCACCCCCACGCATACTTATCGCATTTATCTAACCTTCATGTAATAGACGTATGGAAATAATTTAATACAGTAAAGTTTATAATAAATACACACAACTACGTGCCTTTTCCCTCACCCCATCCCCATTCTTATCGCATTATGTGGACAACTCACCCCTACCCACAACAACACCTACATTTTAAGTACACACATTCTTTCGTCAACTCTGAGTGTAATGTTTACAACCTTTTTACAATTTGTTTTTACTCTATGTATTAGACGTACGGAAATTTTATACAGTTAAGTTCATAAAAAATACACACAACTACGTGACTTTCCCGCACCCACTCGCATACTCATTGCATTAAGTATTAACCATACATCGACACCTACACTTACACTCACAACTTTACAGCTACAAAAACAACATCAAATACATCTTTATTTTCACTAGTTCCTACATTTACAACCTCACCTGTATCTACACCAACCCCTACATTTAAATCTACAACTTCATTTACAAATTAATTCAATTTAAAACTTTTCATCATTTTAGATATTTTACTTAAAAAATTGCTAAGCTGTGGAAATATTTAACCGCTTTAGCCAACATCGTTTAAAATTCGACTCGCCCTCTTTTCTCTTACTTTCTTCCAATTTCCAATCCCCGTGTAGCAAATATTCGTCATGGTTCAATTGATTAAATGGTATAGTGTTTACTTTCTTGTACAATGAGTTATTAAGAAACAAGCCAATCAAACTCGACCTAATATGTAAGCGACAGATATAGGCTCCGCATATTTACTTGTTTACATGTTTTAGTTCTCTAACTTTTAAGGAGTTGTAATTTGTATTTCATTATTTTATTTGGCTATAATTAATTTAAATGATGCACTAAAATTATTTAAGTTCATCAAAGGTCTTTAAAACACTGTTGATAATTGTCTGCTTCTTCACATTAAATCTATATTTTTAGTATTTAAACAAGCATGGTCTGCCGAAAAGAGAAATCGATGTCTATATATCCGCGTCGTTTTTTGAGCGCGTAGCGAAGTATTTTTTCTACTGCAGAAATTAAACCAAGGGAAATAATCGAACAAATCAATAGGTCGGCTGTAAGGAGCTTTTGAATTTTTTAAATTTATTGTCCGTATGAATTTTGTCATACGTTAAAAATGATACCAATCGATAAAGGATTTAATTACGCTCATTTTGATGTACGTTAAACGCGTGAAACATTACCGCTAGCATTTTTAGGTTGGTTTACAAAATTGAAAGTCAAAGAAGCATGCTTCTATCCTTTTCGATACTTCCTCATAAGCTCCTATATTGAGATTATGCCACCTAACCTACTAATATATATATATATATATATATATATATATATATATATATATATATATATATATATGAGTGTGTGTATGTGCTACAGTCCGTAAACGATTTAATAATTACGGTATATGACTTTCGTTCCCTAAAACTTTACTCGACGCCAGTTAAATTCCCCTTTAGATGCGTTATCTTTCAAAATTATATTGAAGAACCTAAATTAGTGTTTTCCTGTGAATTTGAAAGCTTGTTGCTATAAAAAAAAACACCTTTTGTTTTTACCTTTCAGTGATTTATAATTTATGAAGTCGACACGACTTAAAGTATTTGCTTTAAAACACCATCAGTAGCTTGCGACATCTAAAAGACGATAATCCGTCCCGTGAAAAGCAAACTATATGATCGACGATTGCAAAGATTTTCGTGACCCACAGCTCACCAGACTGTTAATATGATTGCGTCTAGCTAGTTATCTCCTCTTATGAATATAGTAATCTAAAAGTAAAAATAAAGTTCCCTTTCAAACTTGATAGTCTACGGGGCAAGTAAAGTAGATTTCACGGACTGGCCTAGCGGTAGAGAGTTAGACTGCTAACCCGTTTGTCTCGAGTTAGAATCCGGGTTCAAGTCAGTAGACCGTCCCTGAGTCCACCAAGCTTTAATGGGTACCTAACTCATGTGAAGGAAAGTAAAAGCGGCTGTGCATAGTACTGACCACACTATCCCTTCATGAGGTCACAGAGACAATTGATATAGTTATCTATCGATTAATTTAATTTTGTTATCCCCTCTTGTTTCGAAACCATAAAATTAATTTTAATGACTAAATAAACATCTAATTAATAATATCAGAAAGACAGTAAATAACATCACTAAGCAGGTGTTGGTGTAAACTAGGTAGTTAGGTAGTTACAGATAGTAGTGATAAAAATAAGAACAACGAGAAGTTGGTGGTTAGGGCACTGTATCAGAAAGACAGTATATAGCATCACTAAGCAGGAGCTGGTGTGAAATCCACAGGGAAAGAGGAAGAGAAGAAGACAAAAAAAAAGTCATGAATGAAATTTTTCGAAATGAAGATGGGCGAGGTTGTATTATTAGAGATCAATCTTCATAAAATTCAAGTGAGTTGACGAAGTGTTGCCTACGCCTATGCTTCTCATGACGCAAAAACAAATCTAAGGAAGAAAACCACAAGAGTTTAAAGCAGTGGTTCTTAACCTGGTTTAGATCGGTGAGTCAGTTGCAGGGATCCACTGGAGGTCAAGACACACATCCAACTCGTCAAGATCGGAATTAGTCAGCGCATATAAAACTGGTGGGGTTTTTGTTCCTCCAAAAAGATTAAGAACCACTGCTTTAGAGTGTAGTTTGTAGAAGATGCAAGCTCATTTTGTCTACATTTGGTCGTGTCTTTACAACAATTTCGATTATGGTATGTTATAGTTTTAAATTGTCAGTTAGGTTGATTAAAGTATTAAACAGTAGCAGTTGACTTGCAGCGCAGTACCAGTATTACCAAGTTTAAAAAGTCTAGCGTGTTAATTATTGGGTAGCGGAAAGGGCAAAATTTATGTACACAAACTTATATATTTATTGTAAATCATTAATAATCTTATATCGTAAATTATTATTATAATCTTATATTGTGAAACATTAATATAATATTATATGGTGAAATATTATTAAAATATTTCAATGTGAAACATTAATATAATCTTATATTATGAAACATTAATATAATCTTATATTATGAAACATTAATATAATCTTATATTATGAAACATTAATATAATCTTATATTATGAAACATTAATATAATCTTATATTGTAAAACAGTAGCTGGTTGGGAAAAAATGATCAAGGTATTATCTAAAATCTTGGGAACCCCTGACACGCTGACTTTAGGTGATGAAGTTTCTCCAGTAATCTCTCACAGACAGCTGTAGCTGAAAACGTGTTCAGTTTTAGGGGTTTGACGGAGGTCAAAACACAAAAACCGACTCATATGATTCACGATCAGATTTCGTCAGTGCAAACGATTAAACTATTAATTGAATTAGCAAATGGGAGAGATTGAGTTCGGTACCTTCATAAGGGTTAAGAACCTCTGCTAAAAATCCCTAAAATTACAACCTATACGGTGCAACCACGTTAACTTTAATTTGTCAACACCTTGATTTTTTTACCCCATCCCTAGCTCTAATAACCTTTATCTGTATTTACAAGCACAAATCTATATATTCTCTTACATAATCCTAACTTATCGTACAGGCTTAACGTGTTTGCCTGCCAAGTTTTCTAATATCTTATTTTAAACATCTTATTTCATGTTGTAGGATTA